TTATCAAATCTCATTTGGACTCAACACACTCAATCACAATTAGCCGTGAAATCCTCGACAGCAACACCAAAGTAATATACCAGAACAGCAACTACACGCATCTTAAAATTGCAGAAGCAGTCGTAATTGACATCAATAAACCAAAAATAAATATACAACAAAAAATGACAACCTCACTCCCAACCCGGCGCTTAACCAACAACGAAAACAAAGAAGTAAAAGAAACTAGCATCGTAAATAGTGACAAAGAAGAATATGATGCTATCCATGAAGAAAAGGAGACCAAAGAAGATGACCAGCCAATAAAGAAACCTGACACCTAATTCCCATCAAAGTTCAATTTTACAACACCAAAGTTAATTTTTACAACGTCAAAGTTCATCTTGACAAAGTCAATATTTCCCTATATATACAGCAAGGAGCACTGATGATGATTCATTCTGAATTGAAATATGGCCTTATTTGCAGCATGAATTCGAAAAATAAGTTTATTTTGAATTTTAATAACCTAAACGTTCACCAAAAAGCTTTAGTGAGAAAAATCGAAAAAACGAACTACAAACATATTAACGCCAAACATTCGGTAGAATTTATAGAATATTGTAAAATATATATATATATATATATATATATATATATATCTGAACAACCCTATCTGGAATTGAGTGAATTGTTTGATGAATATTGGATTCCTACATGATGACTTGCATTTGATTTTTAATTTCCTCTAGCATACGTGGGACGGGGTATGATAATTTAACTCATCCATACAACTAACAAAAATAATTAATATTAAATTAGTTGCCGATGGAGATGTCAGGGAGAAGTTTAGAATCTAATTTATGCTAATCGTTTTTTATGTTTGCGCTTTAATTTCTTATGGTTAACATATGTTTCTAATATAAAATATTTTAACGTACGGGTACTCGTCTAAGTTCTTACGTACGGAAAACATGCGCAGACATAGTAGTGCATCTAATTAAATCATTTTTCTTTCATGAATGTACGAGTGCAGGCTAGTCCAAAAGTAAGTTTACAGTTATTATTATCAACCAAGTAAATTAAAACGTTATAAAAAAGTCAAAGGTCTTATACATTCTTCCTAAGTTTAGAAGAATTAACAAACAACACACAACGACATATATGAATAGGTACAGAACGACGCGTCACACACAAAGCATGTGATATGCGGAAATGATTTTGTCACACTCAAACTCATACACAAACACACACAGACGCGTACCCACACACACACACGAGGTATTGATGAAAATGACAGCGTGTTTGGCGTTAATTAACTTACTGTTTAACTTTGAAATTTTTTATTTCATCAAATCAAAACAAAGAAATCAAAGAAATGATATCAATGAAAAAAAAAATGATCTGGAAATCGAAAAGAAAATATGGTTTTCTTGTAATGATCGCCAGTGACAATTGAAAAATGAGAGCATATTTTAAATATTTTAGTGCATGTAAACTCACATTCATATTACAAATCCTAAAAAACCAAAAATAGAATCAAAATTATTAAGTAATCGACTCATACATTTTTATCAGAATGTCGTTTGTAATTATTGAAACACAAATGTATATATAGACCCACGTAACTGTTTGATATTATATATATATATATATATATAATATCCTTCATATATAATTTCCTTATATATATATATATATATATATATATATATATATATATATATAAGGAAAAATAAAGAGAAGAGAGGAAGAAAGGGAGATACACACATTTATCCCCCGATTTACACGGCACTTCTTTTACACGGTTTTCCAAATAAGTTTTTTTTGTTTTAATCGCACTCTACTAAATGCTACTGTGATTGAACACGTGCTTGCTTGGCTCAATATGAAGAAGTTTACAAAGATCTTACAAAAAATTCGAAGCAATTGTTAATAATATGACCATCTCTCATAATGTAAATATTTCTGCTTCAAACATCAAATCGGCACAAATAACTTCGACTGATGAAAGTAAATTCGAACCTTCGATTCCGAAAAAAAGAATGAGAGTAATTTCTGACAGTGATGAATGGTAATAAAGCACCTTTGGTTTTATTTTTTGTTCGTCTGTTTAATGTAATGTAATTATTGATAAATAAAAAGCAGTGTTTCCGTAATATATTACATATTTTTACCTATCAATGCATTTTATTTTTATTTCTGTGTACACCTCAAAATATTGAAAAAAATCACAACTGTTAAATAGAAAATTATGCATTTTCTGCAAGCTTTTTCATTTACACGGTTTTCTCAGGAACGTATCTACCGTGTAAATCGGGGATAGGTGTAATTATATAAAATTTAAATGTAATAAACCAGTATGTATTGCTGTGAGGGCCGCATTGAGAACTATTTTACCTTTGAAGGGCCGCATATGTTCTTAAATAGCATTTTTTTCGACCCTGGAGAGAATATTTTTAAGATTTGTGGGTCTTTTTCGTCATAATATCTGGCGAACAAGGCCTCGCGGGGCCGCATAAAATAGCTTCACGGGCCGTAATTGACCCACCCCTATTTTTCAAAATGTACAGAGGGTTTGACATACAATAATAAAATATACATGCATGTATGTATAGACATACACACACACACACACACACAAACACACACAAACACACACACACACATATATATATATATACACACACAATATACACACACATATATATGTATATGTATATATATATATATATATAACACATACATAATATATAATATATTTTTATATATAATACACATGATCATGTGTGATATGCACCCGCTTCATTTTTATATGCGTTCGCACTTATTGAATGTTGGTTGACGTTTGCTCTGATGGTTCGTTTCGAAGATAGAAAAATATTTTTATTGTCAGGTTGAGAGTGGACTATTTTCTTCACAATTCACGTGAATGTGATTGTAATGCATCTTTTTAAATGTGTCTCTCCGTTATATATTTATATATACATAATTTATAATGTATTATCTGACAAATTACGAGCTAAGCCTAATAGGTTTTTAATAGTCAAAACGGAATAATCGAATGACGTTAAACAACAGGAATTAAACAAAAAAAATAGTCAACATTAAAATTAAATATAATTCAATAAGGATCACGTAAGCCTGATTGACATGAATAAATTTTATAGAATTATTAAAGTAACAAATATTTGATATTTTGTGGAGGTGGGCAAATGCTCATATATATATATATATATATATATATATATATATATATATATATATATATATATATATATATATATATATATATATTATTTTATCATGTATAAAGTTGACAAGTAGACATGCGTTAATTAATGTTTGTTAAAAATTAGACCTGGATAGTTCATCTATATATCTATATAAATCTATATATATTTATATATATATATACGATCATTAACACTCAAAAGCAGACTAAAGGTAGGTTCGTTTGCTTTGTCATCATCAATGTACTTGCAAATTGCGATTTGCATGCAACTTGCTATAGCTTGATAGTGGCAGAATATAACTTCGTTTCCATATTGAATAGTTTGCTCTCTTTTGCTTGCTTTGTTACTCTGTACAGCTAATTTCCGTTTCTAATATTCTTAAAATTTAATTCAATTTTAATAGTTTATCTTTTTGAAAAATAATTTTTTGTTTTGTCAATAAAATCGTAAAAATATATGTGTTTGTAACTATTTAAGTTTTATAATTACAAAGGTTAATTAATAGTTTTACAATCTTCAATTTCGTCCAATATAACACTTCTACATGTTTTCATTATCGATGATTCCTCTGTTTCTAAATTTATTAGTAGGAAGGAATCCAATTGCACGTTGTTGAATATTCATTATCGGATAATAATTAAATGAGCGTTACGTATTCACTTTGAACAAACAAGGAATCAACAAAGTAGAGACACAGTATATATATATTTGAGCATCTGGCCAAATACACAACGTATCAATTCGAACACCGAAAATGGTATAGGAAACCGAAATTAGCTTTTTTGTTCTATCATGCATAAAATAGACAAAAATTTTGGTTTTAAACTCAAGAAACTTATCAACCGTTAGAAAAATCGAAAAGTTAAACAGAAAGTTAATTAACACCGAACCTGCTGTGATTTTTATCAATAATTGTATTTCTGACAGTGTTAATTATATATATATATATATATATAATTCGATTTATATATATATATATATATATATATATATGATGTGAATATATATAACTATATATATATATATATATATAGTTATTAAAAAAATATTAATATTAAATTATTTTTGACATTGACAGATTATGGATAACTATCATTTCTGTTGAAGAATTCAAATGAAGGCGGTGTACACAGAGATATGTAAATGCATCAGCAAAAGATATAGTGTGCACATCGTTTTTTACATATTCATCAATCAACTCGATTTGTTGGCGCCAAAACTTAAACCGGATTCAAATTGAACTGATTTTTGATGTACGTTCAATCCGAAAGTTACGTACAAATATTTCCGTACACAATCATTTTTTGTGGATTTTATTATAAAAAATAAATTAAATTTGATTGAATTTAGAAATATTCAAATATAGCTGCCATGAATCTTAGTTCTAAAAAAATATTTCAATATTTGAACCGATTAAGTTTATTTGTCTTAATCGTCATGGGCGTTTTTGCATTCAAATTTACGATACGGAGAAAAAGGGCTTTAAACTGTTACGAGAATGAAAATTGCATCACCCCGACAAGTAAGCAAACAACAACTGAAAATTTGAATAATAAAAGCATTCGTTTGGATAGTGCTCATTTAACGTTGGCTAACCGAAATTTAGCAATAACGGATTGCATGAGAAAATATTTAGGAGTTTTACCAGATTACGCTAAAGAAGCCCTGAGGAGCTCAAACATTACCATCGATACAAATTACTCTTGCATCTCTGTCCTTACTGATCGCAGTAAAGCTGTAGATTGGAAGCTTCTGTCTGAGAGCATTCCTGTCTCCAAAGTTGCCATTGAAGACCAGAAATATCTTGAACTAACCAAAAACTGTACAGAATTCAAAACTAGTCGAAATTTTATTTTGAAGCCGTTGAGCGAAGAATCTAGAAACTTTCCAATCGCTTTCAATTTCATAGTTCACAAATCAGCTTACCAGATAGAACTTCTTCTTCGATCGTTGTACCGGCCTCAAAATGTTTTTTGTATACACGTGGATAGCAAGTCATCTGAAGTATTTAAGAAAGCGATCCAATCAATTGCTGGTTGTTTTGATAATGTGTATATGGCATCTAAATTCGAGTCCATAAACTGGGCTGGTTTCAGTCGCTTACAAGCCGACATAACCTGCATGGAGGATCATTTGAGTCGTAATTCAACTTGGAAATATTTGATCAACACGGCTGGGCAGGCATTCCCAATAAAAACAGTTGAAGAAATGGTGCGGATACTAACGATATATAATGGCTCCAATGATATTGAAGGATTGTACGGTAAGAGATTATTGAAAAATCGTTTCGAGAACGAATGGATCGAAGATGTAGCAGCTCATACAGTACGAAAAACTAACAAATTAAACCCGAAACCTCCTCACAACATCGATATCGTCAGAGGATCGGCCTACGGAATTTTCAGCAAAAAGTTTGTAGAATTCATCATCAAGGACGAAAGAGCCAAAGCCCTGTTGAAGTGGTCTGAAAAAACATGGAGTCCTGATGAGTTCTATTGGTCGACACTGCACCACACTTACAGCAACCCTCACCTTCATACGCCTGGTGGATTCTCAGGTAAACGTTTTGTGTGCTTTCTCCTTACCATTTACAGTTGGGTTAAATATGTATAAGGCTTCCAATAATTGTTTAATGTTTGGCTTTGTTATTCATTTTTGTTAAGCATTTCTGTTCTTGGATTTGTTATCATTAGCTTCTAAATTAAGCCTATCATTAATTTTTCTGATTGCTTATTTTCAATACTACTGAGTAAAATTTTTAATTAAAATGAAAAGTTCACAATAATACATTGAAGAACTCATGTTAATGCGCGCCAATGAATGTGATCTCATATTTATATTGTGAATGATGGCATCATTAAATTAAAACGTCTGAGTGTTTCTTTATGTGAATAAACTCTACTGATTTTTTAATAGCATTTACTTTCTAAACCCGAGTCATTTAAAGTTTCAACTAAGAAAAACAAACAAACGAACCAACTGACGAACAAACTAAGTAAACAAACCATCATTTTAAACCATATCTATTTCTTAATAAACATATATTATCTAATTTTTGATAACTAATCATGAAATATGTCCTAATGACACACACAGCGGTGATAATATTTAGAAATTATCGATAAAAAGTGAGATATTAATAAATATTCATTTAACGGGATTGAACAAAAACAACGAACGACTAGATAACGTCGCTTGAACGTTATCAATAGAGTCCTTCTACAAAACCATGCACACACATTAATGACTTCTGCTTCAGATGCTATATAATATATTATATTATTATTATTATTATTATTATTATTAGTCTAAAATTGCCATTTTTAGTGATTACACAATAGAGATACTTGACAATGACAATATGAAGAACTTTTGCGGTTCACGGAAAATAATGAGAAATAAAACAATGAAAATGGAATATACATCATGAAAACAATGAAAATGAATTGTATAAAGAAATAATTTAGTTTAAAAATTAGTTAGAAAAATATAAATAAAAAAGAATTAACTTGGTAACATTAGGTAATGTACAATTCCTAAAAAGTGGCAAATGTTGAAAAATACCCACGATCGACACGTCTGAATGAACAAAACATGAGTACATATACCAACGTAAATATAAATATAAATATTACATACACATATATACATGCATCACACACACACAAAAACACACACACACACCACAATTAAGAGAAAAAGAAATAAAAGTAATTAAATCTTAGCAGTTTGTAAACACTATTTTTAAAATGATTCAACCCTGTGATTGAATTAAATGCTCGAGGTAATGATGACTACAACTTTAAACCGTATTGGAAAATCGAAGTGGAAAATAATAATAGAGTTCGAGATGGGAAAATAAGAAACATTGGAGTGTGTGGTGTAAAACGAGTGCGTACATATGATGATGTCACCGGATATGATTGAAATTGAAGAAACCTTTTTTTAACTACTAGCTTAAATAAAATATTAAAATTTGTAAAACATAATAAGGACCAACTGATAATAAATTTGGAAATAGTTAGATACCGAGAGATGTGACCAAATTTATTTAGATTAAAATAAATTCTATTGCAAAAGTTTTGACAACGGTTTAGCATTGAAATATGTGATTTTACATTATAACCTCAAATAAAAATACCATAAATGAAGTAAGGATAAATTAAAGTAAAATATAAATTGAGTATGATATTTTTGTAAAAAATTTTTGTAACTTAAAAATAACATCTAGATTTTTTGAAACTTTTGTAGAAATAAATTGAATATGTTCTTTCCTACTTTCGAAGTTGCTACTTTACTTATAATGACACCTATGAATTTAATTTTATCTACTCTATTTAAAGGCTTGTTATCTAAAAAGACATTCACAGTTTGAAGGTTGGTGACTTTTTTAGGACCAAATAATATTACACGTTTTTTCGATATATTCAATTTAAGGAAATTAAGGCACATCCAAGAATGTAGGTGGACAAGCTCTATGTCGATTGAAATTTGACTATCAGCCATGAAACAAACTTTGTCAAGTCCAGACAATACAAAATTGATAAATATACAACCAATCTTAAAAACAACCTGTTGAACGATTTTAAACAATGTTAAATTTAATTAACGCTTTTGAACCGTCACCTATAGGTTTAATCCCTTTAATTTTTCATTTATTAAAATGAATTGGACTGATTGTTTTCGCATAGCTTAATTAACAGCGTGATATCGTCATACTATGCCATACATATATTGTAATCGGAGCAATGCATGAATCAATTTTTATAAACTTTTCTACCAACACTGCACCCAATTTCGAATGAAGAGCAATGGTGACTTGCCATTATGATTTTGATTATAATTTGAACTATGTTATATTAATTAATTATTACTACAGATTTTGATTTAATTGATGAGTAATAAAAGATATGTTCCAAGTATTATAATTATTGTTGTTTTCATTGTTGTTGTTGTTGTGGCTTATTTTTCGATTACATGGTATACATTAGATATTATGTTAATCATCATTAGGAAACGATGTTAAAATATAGAGGGTTAGACAATTTCACTAGCTTAACGACAGCCCAAACAAATAATGATTATATGCTAAATATTTTAAAACAGATGACAAAATCACAAATTGTTGTCATCGCAAAATAAATTTTCCATAACAGGCTATCCGATGGACAAGGAATGGTTGGCCGTCTATGCGAATTGGGGCGAGAATTCCTGCAGTGGGAAGTTTGTGCGGTCCATCTGCGTGTTCGGAGTGGATGACGTCATCAACCTGATCGACAGACGAGAATTCTTCGTGAACAAGTTCTATCACGACTATCAGCCGCTTGCATTGAGCTGTATATCAGCTTGGATCCACTCCAAGGAAATGTGCCAGATGCCGTTTGATGATGGCTATTACAAAAAATTGAGATTCGTTAATTCAAAAAATAACAACTAACCCTAACCCCCTCCAGGCAGTAGCACTGAAAACAGTGAAGATGACGTCGGTATTTGTAGCAGTATCAATAAGCTAGAAGGCAGTAGTAGTAGTAGTAGCAGTAGCTTTAAAAATAATGGTGGTGGTAGTAGTAGTAGTAGTAGTAGTAGAAGTAGCCACACTAAAAGTAATCACGGTAGTACTAAAGTAATACAGTGGCTTTATACAAAATAGAAAAGCAGTAAGTAGCGAGCTGAGAATTAAAATGAGCAACAACAGGACGACAAACTGAATAACAACATCGATAGGAACAATGGCACACCTAACAACAACATCAACAACAACCTGCAATTGCACCCCAACAACATCAAACAAAATGACTGACAGGATCGGTAACAACATCGGCAGCAACGACAGAAAAAGCGGAAACAACCGAAAAAAACACGCAAGGAAATGGAAACAGCCACTGCGGCCAGCAAACAAACCGACCTGCAGAACCATGTGAGTGTCATTCCACGTCGTGTTTGCATTGTTTCCATGAGCTGAACCATTACAATCTTTCGTATAGGAATGTTTACGGCGCATACGTATATAATATATATATATATATATATATATGTGTATATATATATATATATATATATATATATATATATATATATATATATATATATATATATATATATACATCTCCCCAAAATATATAACTTGAACCTGCAGTGATTTTCATCAAATATATATATGTATGAATAAATAAATGTATTTATATATATATACACATATATGTATACACACATTTTTTTCTTTTTTGTTTTAAATAGCGCTGTACTAATTGACTTGTAATAATATATATATATATATATATATATATATATATATATATATATATATATATATATATATATATATATATATATATATATATATATATATATATATATATATATATATATATATATATATATATATATATATATATATATATATATATATATATATATATATATATATATATATATATATATATATATATATATATATATATATATATATATATATATATATATATATATATATATGTATATATGCGTTTATGTATACACACAGACTGCATTAGGTATTTTTAACTGCGTGAACTTATGTATGTGTGTGTAAAAATTTTTTAAAATAAAAATTTTTCTTGTGTGGCGGTCGATCTGTGTGAGTGTGTGTGTCTATCTGTGTGTGTCTGTATGTGTGTTCTGATGAATGGTTGTATTTGACTCTGCAATTGTTGATTTATGATAGATGAAGTTGCGTCTGTTTATGTTTAATTATTTTTGCTGCATGCACACGTGATGGTGGTTTTTGTCTTGTCTTGTTAGAAACGTAGTTCGGAAGATTTTTTAACAAGTTATTGGCTAAATGTCATTTGTATGCGTCTGAATGGTTTTCATTGTTCTCTCGTATGTCGTTTTGATGTTTTGACAACAAGTTAATTCAATTTATTTCGTCTCGTTAATTATATGTCGTGCATGGACCAAACACAATTAGGAGCATTAAAAATGTACGTTAAAGTAGCTGAAACTGTGATCCCTCCACCATGCTGCTGATGTTCTGTTGAAGGCGCTTCAATCAGAAGCCTTTAACCTTTTAACCTTTTAATTTCTCATCACCTTTCAGTTTCAACACTTCATTTTTTATTATTTCCGTTTTCAAGCTGGAAATCATGATGTTTTTAATCTTTTATTTATAATATATATATATATATATATATATATATATATATATGTGTATATATATATAAATAAATAAATATATATATATATATATACGCTTTTACTCAAATACTTGGTTAAAGGCGACCTTTTATGTAGAAGAATTTTATTAATTCAAGTTATCTCGTAAATGTTTACTTTCACATTACTCATTTCGGATTGTTACATTATTACATTATTATCTCGTCCCCTCAGTTTCTTCATTATTCAGTCTACGTAATTTTTTGCCATTTGCAATGATCATATTTCGTTCATTCGTTTATTTGTTTCCTTTTAAATGTTTCATGGTTGCATTCATTTTCACTCACTCACTCACTCACTCATGTGCTCATTCATTTACACATTCTCCCTCATTCACTCATTTAGTTATTTTTTTCATCCGCTTGTTCGTTCGTTCGTTCATTCATTCATTCATTCATTCATTCATTCATTCATTCATTCATTCATTCATTTATTTATTCATTCATTCAAGGGTAGGCTGTTTTTCATTATTTTAACATTCATTCAATCCATCATTTTATTTAAATTTTGTTTTGTTTCAATATAGTTTATAAATTTTTTAATTAATCAGTGAAACATCTGTAAAATCGATTAACTCTCAAATTGAATATCATACTTTTTAGAACAGCTGTGCCATGTTTAAATGTTGTGATACCACAAACACACACGCACACACGTACACACACACACACGTATTTACGAAAATATATAAATGTTAAAACATTGCTATTACAATATTACAAAGGTTCTTTGTTGGTCTGTTTCTCATGACGATGTGACGATGATTATAATGATAATAATTGGGTTAATATGTTGTATGTTGTTGACGAAGATGCTGATAATTATGCTAAATGTTGTATCTAGTGAAGATAATATATGATTAGATAATAATAGAATGTAAGTAGTGTATTTCATGCATAACCCAACAATCGTGATACCATTAAACTTTCAAGTCTAACGTTCGGTCTCTTCGTTGTTGCCCGCCTCACCAACTTCAACTCTCGCGAAATTTTTCTTCAACTCAGGAACGTTGAAAGCGGGAAATATCTGTTGAGAGCCAATAAACTGCTATATAGTAACAAATCTTGCTGGTGAAATGGATGAGAATGAGCTCATGTGAATGGTTTGATGCATTGGTGAGTGCGTGCTTGAATTTTGTTCAAGTATGTGTGTGTTGTTATCGCTGTGTATTTAAGTGTACGTGTCTTGTATGCGCGAGTGCGTCTGATTTGTTGAAGTAGCAACTACCAAGATGAACATTAGACACCTCAAGTGCACAGTGCACCACTCATTGACATCCGTACGTGGGTCTGCAATTGTTATCTCTTTTTGTATTTTTTCTATTTCATTTTCCTCTCGTAAGCATTTGCACTGAACATGAAAGGTAACTTTTAACTTAATTATATGCAAGGTTGCTATCGACTGCAATGCTATTAAGGTGTTAGTAGTAGCTATGCCGTGGTGACTGTGATGGTAATAAAATTATAAGCATCAGACTCAAAACTGAAACAACGTGTAGAAATGACATTCAGGTGTAGGTAGGTAGGTACTTGGATGTGAATCAATTAAGCCCTGTTGTAGATTACCCTCTTGCTTACTATTGGGCAAATTAATTTCACATGAAATACGGGAAAAACTGATTTCTAAACTTTTTTAATTATTCTTTGTTTACAATTTATTTGAAAAATTAAAGTGTGGGCTACTGGTATTAAAAATTCGGTAGACCATACTTTCATTTTTCGTGGCATGTTCAGAATGTGATTGCAATATTCACGTGAAAATAAAAGAACGTTAATTTTAACCCAAACCTAAAATTTTTCACTTGAAAATTTTCAAAAGTGGTCGGTGAAGTGGGTTAGCTCAATTGGTTGAAAATTTTGAATTTCGTCCTCTGCGATTCACAAGTTCAGTGTATTAAAAATATGCATCAATTATTATTGAGGTTACCGACAAACACAATTCACTGCTGTTGGCGAACGTGAATAATTTTTCTGTTTCAGGATCGAATAAAAGTATTGTATCGTAATGTATTGCATCGCAATGTCTTGTCTTGTATTGTATTGTACTCAATTTAATTAGTCGAACAAGAGAAACTTAACTACTGACGAATAGTTGTGTTCCGTGATTTACCTGTCGATTAGTTATTGTGCTGTATTCTAACGAGTTTATCGATTGAATAAACGAGTGATTGATCACAGCAATACACACAAGTGGTTGTCAGTACTGTTTTCTCTCTGATAAAGTCCATCTAAAATGAGTCTGTTCAGGAATCAAGAATCCACGTAAAGCGAAACAATAACACGTAACAATATTATGCAGCATTGCAATGTATTCATGAATTATTTATAGTGCATTATCTAATCTAAATTAATTCCAAAACACTAGGATTATGTTAGTTTTTTGAAGGAGTGGTTGAACACGTGGTTTATAAAAGTTTCTTGATGATGTCCCCACTTCAAGGTGCCAACATTTTTTGGACCAACCAGCAAGGCATTCCTTATTTGGGCAGCCGATGGAGAAAAGAGGAGAAACATCTTCGCTGTGAACTAACTGCCCATAAATTGTTTCGTTATCATAATACCGCCAAGAATGTTAAACAAATTTATTCGGAGAAATGGCAACAGTTAATAATTAGAACAATCAGCTGTTGTTCAGTGTAATTGGTTTGCTGAACTTATGATTATGCAGATTCGCAAAGTATGCAAACAATTAATTAATTAACTATTTGCTCGGTGTTATTTTTTGATGTTCAACATGTAGATAACCGTATATATGAGTACTAACGTATGTAAGATGGTAACTAAAATCCGGCTCCGACCCCGGCCGGTTTTTGAATTTTAAATCCGGCCAAGTAATATGTATATATAATATATATATTATTAGAAAATTTATAAAGCGCTAATTAAATTAAATATCTCAAAGGCGCCATCACATTTTTATTGAATTCACGATCATAAAATAACAGCAATAAATCAGTAAATCCAGAGGAACCAAAATCACTAACAAGAATTGAACCTGATAAATAAATTGAATCCCAGCAGCTTCACCTTCGAATAAGCTGTTCTCTATATAAATGCATTCATACTAATAATCATTCTCCAAATAATAGAATAAATTAAATAGACCAGTTAGAAGCATTCACCAAAATAAATAGATAAATAACATCAACCAGCCGCATTAAAAAGAGAATCAAACATCGAAACCGAAATAATGTACATATTGCATAAAAGCCACAAAAACATAACAAAACCCAAAAAAATATAATAAATTTCTATAATGTGAAAAGATAAGATTTAAACAATTTTTTTAAACGAAAGTAATCTTAAATCAAGATTTCTTAAATAAGATGACAAACTGTTCCACACAGTGGGACCACAAATAGAAAATATGTATTCTATATATATATATATATATATATATATATATATATATATATATATATAGGAGAGCACATTTTATACAGTATTGTATTAATTTTACCAAATTGTTGGCAGTGATCAATTTAAAGTTTGTCTTTTCCTAACCAGAATTTTCCTTATTGAACAATCTCCAGATAACTGTTGTAAGGAAAATTGAAAAGACAAAATTTAAATTGATTAATGCCAACAAGTCGGTAGAATTAATACAATACTCTCTTTCTCTCTCTCTCTCGCTCTCTCTCTCTCTCTCTCTCTCTCTCTCTCTCTCTCTCTCTATATATATATATATATATATATATATATATATATATATATTGGAATAAGACTGTCTCTGCCATAAAATGAATTTATTGATGAAAATCACATATGTTCGGCGTTAGTTAACTTCCAATTTAACTTTTCGAACATGTGATTTTTATCAATAATTGCATACATATATATATATATATATATATATATATATATATATATATATATATATAATACATTTAATATATTAATATATAAATAATATATATTAATTATATATATTTTATATTTTTTCACACACACACAGAGAAATATATATATATATAAATATATATATTTGTTTGAATATATATATATATATATATATATCTTCACGTATAACGGCTGTACGCTATTTCTCTTTTGTTCACTCCTCTAAACCTTGGTTAAGTGTATGTGACCTTTAACATTTAGTCATTAACTTTTTATTTTGAAATTGAAAAATAGTTTGTTTACATGCTAAACATTTATTTTTAGTAAAACCAAAAAATTTAAGTAAAAAAATTTTGAACAACAATGTGGATGCAGGTACAATGCAAATAAAATTTTTTCAAAAAAAATTGGAGTCCACACGACAATATTCCTTAAAATTAAAATTTTAATATAATTATTAAATAATAATATAAGCCTCAAATATACAATTGCCCTTCGTCTGCATTCGACGGACGAAGTTTTTCATCATTTACGCATTGTTGGACGGATCGTGTAAAAGCGTCAGTTATCAAATGCTATTGTGGGACGAATTGTTACACAGGGAGTGGTGCGAAGTTTTTCATCATCCACGTTTGGAGGACGAATTGACGAAAACACAAAAGTGTTTGTTGGTCTAATGTGGTTCTCTACTTTTGAACCACAAAACGAAGTTAGCAAAGTAGAGAGCAACAGTAAAAAAAATTATTTTGACTTCAGCCATCTGTAGAACTTTTAATAAAAATTTACCATTCAAATACAAAAATAAATTGAATTTAAATACTGTGCAGTCATGAAGCAATTGAAAACTACCTTTAAAATGAAAATCTGAAGAAAATTGTGGCAAATTGTTAAATAATTCTGAAAGCGTCGGTAATGTATTGGCGACGACTCCGGTTCTTTTATACAATTTTAAACTGCATAATTAATTGTCACCATTTGTTAACACACACACACTCTCACTCTCTCTTTTTCTCTCTTTCTCATTAAGTGTGAGTGTGTGGTATTGCGAGTGTATGTGTATGTGTTTATGTATGTGTTCAAATAATTTCAATTCAATCATTTAAACATTTAATACTTTATTGGATTTTTTTATTGTTCAAGTATTATACTAATGCATATCTACTTATTTTGAATATTCATTTGTGTTTTAGTTGTTTGTTGTTCTTATTGTTGAAAGATTTTTAACATCCTACACTTAGTTTTGTTCAAGAAAAGTATCGAGATTTTATTTATGTTATATCTAGTTATATTACATTTCGTTATGCTATGTCATGTTATGTTATATAAATTATGTCATGCGCGTCATGTCGTGTTATATTTTGTTGTTATTATTTTTCGCAGTGACAGTTTTATGGAGGCCGGGGAGGGACCAGTGAACAACCATTTTATTGCAATTCTTTGAAATCTTGCCAACGTATATTGTTCAATTAATATTTATACATAAGCAGTAGGTACTAAATAGGAAAATTTAGCGCTAATGCCAACGATTATTGCAGTGCATTGCGTAGCACTTTTATTAAATGGAGAAAAAAAAACGTTAGTACGGGTAAGCTTGGACAAAAAGTTGTTGTTTAGGTCTTCTACAAAATTGAATAACAGACAACGCAAAATTACGAAACCATTCTAGACAGCAGGACCCATTGCGGAGAAACTCCTTTGACCGAAGGCCAGGTTAGTGTCAGGTACAAACAGTAAACCTAAATTGTCAGAGCGCAATTTATAATTCAGTAGTGGCATTGTTTTAGGAATAACTCTGACAGTTAAATAATTAAGGGCATCTCCTTTAATAAAACCAACCTTTCAACCAAATTTTAAATTGACTGCAGTCTAGCCATATTTATACCAGACAGGCCGTAATATATACAAATGTAATTGTTTATTTTGAATAGATGAAGGAATGAACCATAGCTGTATTAATCTCTTTGCACAAATGTGTACCAACATGAACGCAAAAACAAGTAAATTAATCAACACATGAACACAAACCATAACGTTTGTTACAAATTTTATTTTAGTTTGTTACAAATATACATGAACAGGAATTGATATATCCGTAGCCGAATCATTCCGTTTGTGCAATATCATAATTGGTTTCCAGTTCAATCTTCAATTCCACAGTTCCATTTTGAGCGAAGCTTGATTGATGGCAGTAATTTGACTTCATAAGGTGGGCTATGTCTCCTCCACAACATGGACATTTATATTTGATCTTGAACCAAATATTGGCGCATGAAAGACGTGATCGCATCTGGTTTGGCACAAAAAAGATCTCTTTAAAAATTTCTAAGCAAATCGGACATTTGTTCTGCACAAATTTATGTTTAAAATGAGGTAATATATAATTTCCTTTGAATGGCAACATCTTATGTAATTCATCTGAGTGGTCGATATCCACGCTAAAGTCAAAACCATCATCAGTCAGCTCGATTAAAACCTTAAACACAATTACCCTTGAATATTCTTCTCAAAATACAAAGTTTCTACTTTATTTACAAATTTGTTTGTTCTTGGTTTTTACGATATACAGTAAAGTAGATCTGATGTATTTACGTGTTCACGGTTCTAACCACTTCCAAACAAATGTTAATGTGGTCGTCATTTTCCATAATATTACTGGATTGAAACTTTGTTTCATAAGTTTAGCTATCCAACTAAGCATTATACAACTAAGAAAAATATTAAATTTCATTGTATTGGCGCTGTTCAAATTTCTACAAATTAAAAATACTGTAAACTTATAAAATTTATCACGCCAATAAAAGAACGCAACTTTGAAATTTATAAAAATGTATTGTAAATCTTAATAAAGTAATAAAAAATCTAGAATAACATGCTACATGCTTTAATGCAAGCCGAGAAGGTTTTGACTGACAAGGAACAACAAATAAAATATCAATCATAATTCTCAAAAATTCAAGTGTAACTTTTTTCATTTTAATAAAATTTTGAAGAAATTATATACTAATAAAAGTTTAATTATTATTTTTACAAACTATCAGATTTTTTCTCGTTAATTATGCATTTGTAACATAGGTGACTACAAACCGCTCCTATTAAATCTCTTATGAAAGTTCTGTGCTATAGAAATTATGTAACTCTGAATTCAGACAGTATTCAATGTACTATTCTCCTTTAACAAATCGAATTTGAATACAATGTTTATACATTTTTGTTAATTATATCTATATTTTATATTGATATTCACTTATCACGATTAATATTCAATTTTCAGTTTGAAAGTTTGTTAAAGGCATATAATAGACAAATGAAAGAATGATATTTCTTTAGAAAAAACTTCACCATAAAAACAAAAAAATATTAATTTTCAAATGATGATCGAAACGGTGAAGTTGAGACAAAAATTTGCACATCTACAGTCCCGTCCTCCGTGATTTTACGATTACAGCATCTATTCGATTTCATGAATTGTACCACATCTCTTCTGCATTTCTTTTTCTCCTTCATCCACGTTCCCAAACAATGGTAATGAAAGACGTGCTGACAATTCAATTGACACACAAACGAAAGGTGCCTAAACTCTTCCAAACATATCTGACATCCGTGGTACTTGAACTTGTAACTTAAAAAAGGGAGGTAGTACATTCCCGCATCAGCCAGTGATAAGAAGAAAGAATCAATGTGTTTGATGTTTCCAACGTAATGAACTCCGTCTTCCATTTCATTAATGTTGATTGCTTTCAATGAAGAATTATTTTTCTTAAGGGAACCGTAAAAGTAGTCTTGGACGGTTTTTAATAATTCGAACTTTCTGTCGTTTGTCAGTGAGTGATATGTCACCAAGTGGTTTAAAACATCCAAATCCTTCCCCTTAAATAAAATACTTGACAGGCTGTCAACATCATCACAAAATAAAACTTTTTAATATTTGAAATTGAGAAATGTTTAGATTTGTCGATTTGTTTGTTAATAAAATTTTTCATGTCGATCATATTTATACTAGTTTCAACACGGATTGTAAAAAAGCTTGTAAAGTATATTGATATAAAATAAGTTTATGATTATTTCTTGAGCACTGAATATTTTAAATAAATGATCGTAAAACGGAAACAATTTCAGAGATGAGGCTGGAAACAAACAGAAATACAGAAATTGTTAAAGGTGAACGAAGTTTAAAAATAAAAAATTGATCCAAACAGGTTGCAATCTTGAATTTGCTTGTGAAAGCCTGCTGTGTCGAATATTAAAAAATTTGTTTTTTATGCATATATTTATTTTGATTCTCTGTTATGAGTGTGTTGTGTGTGTGTGTGTGAGAGAGAGAAAGAGAGAGAGGGAGAGAGAGAGAAAGACTGTGAGCGTTTGTGTGTATGATTTACTGTATGATTTATTTTTTACAGACTAATTAATAAAGTTACAAATTTAAAAAAATATTTGACTGTTTTAGATTCAGAAGATTTAAATTTTCACTCCAAAAATCTGAAAATGATGAGAAGTTTTGTAATTTTGCTTTGCGTTTTTATTTATTAATATATGCAATATCCATAACTATATAGAAATAGTTAATAATAATGTATTCATTTTCAAATGTTTATCAGGCCCAACAACGCTCATGTCAAAAATGGCGAAATAATACACACAGAGCCCAAATACAGTGCCAACTGCCAATGATTTTGTAGTCTCGTTATGTTTATATGTAAGAACGTTTAAAATTGCAATGCTCCCGGTTTCTATCGTTATATATTATATTTTAAAACTTATCTATGAGAATTAAATTGAAAATACTTTTAAGAGTTACACAAAGTTTTTCAAACGAAAATTATGACGGAATTGTTGTTTCAAATTTGCCTTGTCTGATCAAAATCATTTTTTAATATATTATAAGTAATGGGAAGAGATTTAACAAATAATGAATTTGTAAAAAAATAAATTTTATCATTTTAAAATTTTAGAATATTCAAAAAAATTAAAGTTGAACTCTTGAAATCAGATCTATTCACAGAAATATTTCGTTATTCCAAAACACGAACACAAAATTTTTTAAGCTGATTTTACACTGCTTTGAAAAATAAATTACAAAGTAAACACATGGTGAATATTTCTACAAAAAAGGATATCAATTTAAAAAAAATTTTCAACATGAAAAGAAGCAAAAAATAAATAAAAAGTAATTTTTAAATGTTCATCGAGGCGGTGAAGTTCAAACAATTATATGTTTTATGACCCTTCTGGTTATTATGAAGATGTCCACTACTAACACAATACAATCGAATCATCCGGACGACTTAATAAGTATCAATAATAATTCAATTTTATCCCATGAACACGTTGACCTACTAAAATTAATTTTTGAGAAAAAACAAAATTCATTTCATCAGTTACAAATATTGATAATGAAATAAAAAATGTTATTCGTACTAAATAAATTATTATGTCAAAACTATAATATATATCTCTAAATACTATTCTTAGGGTTTATCATAAATCTTTCATTCATTCATTCATCCATCCATCCATCCACCCATCCATCCATCCATTAATTCATTCATTCATTCATTCATCCATCCATCCATCCATTAATTCATTCATTAATTCATTCATTCATTCTTTTGTTATTTATATTTTTGAGTATAGTGTACAAAAAAATAATCAATGTTTATGAATCAGATATCATTAAAAGGTTCTGAATGAAAAATATGACATCATTAACATATTGTCCCCGCAAACTGTTCAACGCAGATGGAACAATTTAGTCATAGAATCTATCTGTCTGTTGTCTTCATATTTTTTTTTAAATTAATTCTCTTTTTACGTCTCTCATGTGTTGTGCCTCTCTAGGTCCTGCCGTATTATCTTTTTCAAATCATTGTTTTTAAGTAGTGTGCGTGTGTGTGGGTGAAGTTTTTAATGCAATCATTCCTAAATATTTTTCTTATATATATATATATATACATTTATATTTAGATTTCTGTTACAACAGCTTCAGGTTATATGTTAACCACCCCCCAATGGCTTGCACCATTTTGTTGCACCTCCTGAAACGTCATCCAGCTTTCCGATCCTTTGAGTTGGCAACTACAGCCGGCCCTGTGCAATGGCACCAGGTTGAATGCAGCGCACATCCAGTTCTTCAAACAGATGATCGCACAGAACGACGGCGAGCACCATTTATTGTTGACTACGTCTTCTACATCAATGCTTTGTACGGATGAGTTGGATGTACGTTTTGTGAACCTCTTCTGTAGTGCCACTTGGATGGCTTAAATTAAATTTAAATGTTGTTGAAATAATTTTATTCAAATTTGTAAATCAAAATATAAATTTTATATTTATTAAACAGGAATTTTTCCAAATGGATTGATTTAAGGCCCCCATAAACTTTATAATTAAGGTTCCTATCGATTACAGATGACGTCATAATATCATCACCGAACTTTCGACTTCCGAATAAAATCCATGCAAATCCTATTCAAAATACAATTAATTGGCAAAAACACGCTGTTGATGAGGCCGACAAGTAACGATCTTTCAAATTAGAAAAGCAAAGATTACTGATGCACGTGTGGCAGACGTTTTTTTCATACGATCGGGAACCAATCATATGATACAGTTAAGCTTCGGATGTTTTGAACGTTCTTTCATAAAATTTTTGACCAAATATCTTTTGATATAAACCATTCGAATGTGGTGTTAATCTTTTTCAGTGCGTAAGTAGGTAAAGTGATAACTAATTTTCAACACGACCTTTGAGGCTTACGTTTTATAGTTAGTGGCAGCTTGCAGATGTACGGATAGATAGCAGCCAAACAGTTTCGATCCCACAAATTGAATCTCGGCGCCAATCTCGTGCAGCAGGTGTTCTCATTGGCCCCGTCGAAGACATTCTTCAAGTAGTTCATACCACTCCCATCGAGCCAGTAACTATTGTTAACTTCAGACAAAATACAAAGTGATCGGTACAATCCAATCCAGTAATTTTTCAATGGATCTAAGAAAGGACTGAGTTACAAAATTATTAATTTATTTGGTTTGCATGATTATATTATTAATAGCAGAAAATTTTATTACAATAAGTATACAATAAAATGGTAACAAAGATAGTAAAAGCCCAAAATGACAAAAATGTTACGTTATCAAATTGACGAATGTGTGGAATTATACAAACAGCAAGAAGTTGAATTCGTCGTTTGACTCAATGCTGAGCAGCTGACTCTTCATCGACCTGCACAACTGGAGAGCCTCGAAGAAATGGCCGGCGTTAGTTTTCGAAATGTAGTAACATGATTGACCGTAATTCAACCAATCAGAGTTTGGACATTTTGTATGTTGTGCTATTTTTTACGAGCAGATTTTTAAATCAAACCGGACGATCAAATATGAATAAAATAAAATTATTCAACATCAACATATCCGCAAAGTTACCTGCCACGATCGGTACCAGGAGCATGGTCAGAGCGAGGAAGTGTTTTGAAACAACTGGATGATTCATAAACTGGGGAGACATGAAAGTGATACCAGCCATCAAACAAATGGAGTTAAAACGAAAAGTTGGAGTCATTTTCAGAAAAATATCATTAAAACTCAAATTTCTATATTTTATCTATCTTTGTTTCATGTAAAAAAAAAGTGCATTAATTTGTTTTTGATGAGCTTTCGAACACAAGCAAATAAGTGCATATTATATGTTTATTATATATATGTTGGTTGAAGATTATATTTTATACAGTATGTTATGAATTTGAATACAGTATTCGGTATATTTTATATGTACATGTATATATATAATATATATATATATAATATATATATATATATATATATATATTATACATATGTATACTATATAAATAATAATTATTCAACTGTTTGTTTATTATGTACCTACAAATGTTTTTCATATTGTTTAGATTAATTTGACGCTGAGACAAACATCATGCACAATTGATCTGAGAAGACAGATGTATTGTATTGCCCCTGTCGGTAGATGTAAGTAATGACATTTTGAAAGAAAAATTTTTGCAGCTGAATCAATTGTTTTTCTTGTCTGAGATGTTTTGTTATCATTTAATTATTATCATTTTCTTATATTATCAATTCTGTATTTTTGGGAAAATAAAAAAGTCAAAAAGAATTCTTTCAAGTTTGAAAGTTTTTAAAATATCTTGATTCAATAGGTTTATTTTTCTCTTGAAAATCGATAAGCCGATGACAATACGTATAAAAAAGTTTTTAAAAGAATGTAAAATATGAATTAGCGTTTCAAGGTAATATATCACAACTTCAACAAGAAGGCGTAGAAACTGGAAATTTATGTCGATGTGGCCTGAGCAGTTGGCTATCTTTATTCTGTTTATAGCATTATTTTCTGTCAATTTTTCTATTTAAAGAGGTGCTTTTTGCATAAAAACTTCGTTTTAATATATAAAAAGTACATTAAGTTGACTGTGTCGACTAAATTAAAAAAATTGCAACAAAATGGTTGTTGACTGTTGATAATGGGCCACTCTCTCTAAATTTTTTAATATGTAATATTACCATAGTTATTCCTTTTCAGCAATCAGGGCCAACTTGACCAACCAACCGACAAATGCCTATGGCCCGTAATTTTAAGAGACTTTGGGTCCCATTTTTGCAACAAATTTTTATTTGTATATATTTGAATGTTGACATTTAAAATAAACTTTTTTACAAGAGTCGCATTATCACATTATAAAATTATTAGTTTATTCTATATGTCAATATATTTTTGAATTTTTTATCAGGTAAACAAATTTTTAAAAATAAATGAAAAATAATGACTACGACTATTGAAAGGGAGTGACCAGGCTCAAGTGTAAAAATCTTAAAAAATAACAAGCACGAGTTTTGAGGCATTAACATAAAAGTTTAGATAGCTGACTTTTAATGAATTCTTGTTATCAAAAATGCTCAATTAAGAAAATGTTTCTCTTGGGTGCCGAAGTATAAATTTTGATTCAGCGCATCACACTGCAAGCACGCCGCTGGAAATGTCTCATATTAAAGCCATTAATTAGTTCCAATGTTTCCAAACTCCAACTAAACAATTTTTAAAACTTTAAAATTATGAAACCTATCAAGTTATGACTTGAATTTATTTACAAAAATGAACTTGAACTGAACGGAAGCTGTTTACAAGATGATGAACGAAGTAAATGTTTGGTGTGTTGGCGAACCGAATTCTCCGACAGACTTGACAGATTTCTGTGTGCAGAGCATCGTGGATGGCATGTTCTGCTGGGATAACCAACCCTGTTCATATCCTCTCTGTGTTCTCTGCGAGTTTGATGGGCCTATTTAACTATCGGCCTTTTGTAAGGTACACTAAATTGAACATTCATACCTTTGTGAAGCAAGATAATGACACTTTTATTTAAACTATAAAACACGTAGATAACCAAAAGTTGTTCGAACTAAATGCAGTTTTTGTACTAATAATATTAATATTTTTTTCGATGTTTTGTTTTATTTTAAACGCTCTATAATGTAAAGAAAGCGATTATGAACATGCATTAATATAACTGTATGCCTAACTAGAACTTTGCTCGACAATTTTACTTGCGCATTTTGTATGCACTGCCCCTATTTTCTAATATTTAAATTTGATTAAAGATCGATACATTTTTGATACTGAAAGAACCAGATATCAAAATTTATTATTAACTTTTAAATGAAAATAAAAAATAACTAACTTGTGTTACTAAAAATTATTTTTCAACGCATTTTAATATAGAGAATAAAACGTGCGAAACATCGAGCAAACGTTTTGCCTTTCAATTTAGGTCAATCACGCCTTGCATAACAAAAAAATGAGAGAAAATTCTTGCAAAATTCTTACTTGTAGTGCTTCAGAGTTGACTGAGTTTCTCTAACAATGGTCATTTTGTGCTTCCAAAATTCAATTCGTCTCGTTTCGTGAGGATCCTGTTTCCATGCTGCTTTTTGCGGATGACGTAAAATTGTTCTTCCGTTCTTCTTACTCAGTTCACTTGCAACAGGTCATCAGCAACATTGTCGCTTGGAGTAAACAATGGCAACTTCCACTCTCTTCTAACAAATGCTTTCAATGTTCATTACATCCTTCATCTGTTAATACATCTTGAATCCTGTTAACCAATTTAAAGATTTTGGTGTAATAATCAGCAATCGTTTCAATTTTGGTCGATACGTCAATGACATCACTCATAGAGCGGCTACTCGTGCATACCTGATCACCAAATGTTTTACTTCAAGAGATAAAGAAATTCTCACCAAAGTTCGACTATTATTGGAGTATTGCTCGTCCGTCTGGAATCCTCACTACAAAGACCAACTGACAATGATAGAAAGTGTGCAAAGGAGATTCACAAAGTTCATTCCTTCAGTTCGTCATCTCCAGTACACAACTCGCCTGTGCTTAGTGGGATTACAAACGTTAGAACATCGTAGACTAATTTCGGACTTGTGTTTTGTGTTCAAAATATTAAACAACGTTATCGGCATTGATTTGAATGATCTGTTTTTTCCCTTGTCCTACCAATCAACCCGTGGACATCCTTACAGAAAAGACTACGTGAATCTAACTCCGACAGCAACACATCCAGATACTTTTTTGGTAGCAAAATTGTTCGAATATGGAACTCATTGCCTGAGGAGATTGTTTCGTCAATTGTCGATTGATTGATCAATTGATTGATTGATTGATTGATCAATTGATTGATCAATTGATTGATCGATCGTCAGGCTGACAATGCAACGTTGTTATCGTTATTTTATGTTTTTTAATTTCGTGATTACGATATGACACTTATTTAGTATTGATCTCTTTTTCATTTTCTGCCATTTTGTTTAATTGTAATTGTCTGTTCGTTTTTTTTCTGACCGGGCATGTGGCCAGTGTGGTCCTCTGGTCAGGTGCGTAATAAATAAAATAAATATTAAGAAAAAAGATCAATTTAAACAGACCTGTGAAGGCATATGATGATAAAAATGATATTTGGAAAAACTTCTTTACCCTGTCCAGATGAGGCAACGCTAACTCTTAGTATCTATCGTGTGACAACCAAATCAGAGCAACTAAATGACTTCATTCACTCCAGAACGTACTTGAAAATTTTCTGGTTGAAGAGAGCGCCATTTAGGTTTATTTAATTTATTGTTTTAAAATTGTCTTAGTTTTGAGAAGGCACAGGGACGTTTCGTCTTCGCCTTTGTTTAACGTAATAATAATCATCCTGTAAAGTTCACGCACATTATGAGAATCATTAGCTTAATAACATCATTTTTTATTTATTAATTTTTTAAAAATAAGAATCTAACAGTTGCAAAAAGTGAGTAAAAAGGGATACTGTGCACAACGTAAAATAAAATAATAATTTTAAAAGCAAATAAGTAAATAAATAATTAATTAAGTAGTTAATTAATTAATTGATTAAAATATTACTTTGGGCTTCAATGTCATTTCCTCATTTCATACTTTCATTCGTATTTAAATTTGTTTTGATTGATTAAATGAAATGAAAATTACTTCTCAAAATACTTCGAAGAAAATCTGTGAAAAAATAATTGTGTCAAAATGTCATACAGCCTTTATCGTTGTGTTAAAATTTTGTTTGCGCTGCGTATTTATCATTATACAGTTGTGAAATGTTGGCAGTTTCGTTTTAAAACGTTTTTGAGGTCATTTTTTTAAAATTATTTCAAAAATAATTTATTTGCTCAAATCTGCTGACAAATGCAATGCGTTCATTATAACATGGTTTACCCAGAATCAATGTTTACACATTGTTAATGCAATGTGTATGATGCGTGGTTTGCACGCGTATTCATAAACCCTGTGTGTGTTTGTCGTTGAAACCTCTGAAGCTAACGCAAAAGAGAGAGAGTAACCTTTAACCTTTAATGTAATAACGTAATCACATTTATGTGTTGGTAATGTAACTGTGCCGTGCAGTTTTTCTTATAGCATATTGTAGATACATGATATAAATGTTAATGTAAGTATCGCTCGTGTGCAGTTTTCGTTTCAAGTGCCGGTTTAAAAGAAATGTGAACTTTATTTTACTCACTAATCGAATTGGTGGCTGGCCAAAAGCAGATTTCTATTATCAACTTTATTGCCGGATGGTAATGTTTATCACAACCTTCTGTAAGAGGTCACAGGAATTTGGTAGTTATAAATTTTTTAATTCTTGTGACGGTACAACTAACTAGATTAGAGGCTTGATATAATTAATTATTTACTAATCGTTCTTATCAAATAAAAAATTAATAAAAATATGTTAAATAATAATGTTATTTTAATTATCATAAAATTCTGCCAAATAAGCTTGAGCTTGCAAATAATAATAAATAAATGCACAAAGGCTAATGTGTGGAACAACCAGGAGCGGATTTAAACAAAATTGACTGGGGAAGATAAAAATTTCAAAAATTTTGAATTTGACGAGATGCCAAAAAGTAACACTATTTCAATTTTGTTGCTGCAGTTCTGCTCATAGCCCTTAAATACGCCACTGATAGATGACATGACACTCTTTGGATAAATGTAATGTCAACAACAACAACAACCTCAATTGACATCAACGACATCAACAACATTGAAAACATCAACAACAACACCGATTTCGATTAAATAAAAGCAATGATGATCTTATCACGCAACTGTAGCAAATCATCGTTGACGAGAAGCATTCACCGACTGTTAATCACAATTCTTTTCGCCTCCTTCCTCATGCTGCTCATCAAACTTATGAACGTCAACGAACAAACACATGACGTATCGTTGTTAGCTTACAAGGAAAGTAGCAGTATCGTCGATGTTGGCAATAACCACGATAACAACAACAACAACAACCGCGAGAAAAGTGTTAATAGGTTTGAAAAATTGTGCCTCATTAAATTTCCTTCACCCGTTCAACAACATGCTCACAATTCCACGTGGATATCAATCACCCTCCCCAAATATAGAATTTATTCATTCAGCGCGTACTACCTGGCAGGCAAAAACAATGGTGACGTCATAATGTATGTTATCAGCAACACGACTGCCCTCTTGGTTCCTTTTTGTCTGTTGTGGGATGCAGATGAGGAGCATCACGTGGTCAGAGCATTCGCTGAAATGAATAAGAACAGCTTTAACAATCTGTTAGTTAAAATGACAACGATGATGATGTCGAAGATAATGATGACTACGACGACGATGATGTTGACGACTATGACGATGACAATGTTAAGAGTTACACTCTTTAGGATCCATTTCTCTTTTCGATGGTTTAATAACTTCTTCAAACTTTACTGAATTTTTAAAAATTTTTCCGTTTTTTCTTCTCTTACTCTTTGAGTTTATTAAAGTTGATAACTCCATATGCCAACTAAAATTTGTTTTTAGATCTACTTCCTCCAACTAACTTGGGATGTACTTTTGAATTTGTGGTAACGATGGGTAGATATTAGGATTGTTGTTTGATGCTTTTTACCAAATGATGTCGTTTGATGTTATGAAAATTTGATTCATTGATTTTTTTCATTATTGAATTATTTGAAGACATTTACTAAACAGAGACCGTTAAAGTACAGTAATTAACGTTAAAAAATTAATTTATAAATTAATCTTAAATTAATTTAAGTAGTGTTGTAAGGCGGGAAATTCATAAACTGGGTTAAAGTTGGCTATCAATATATCAGTATTGTTGCACAAATAATTTAATTAATTGCTTGTTCAAGTTGTTGAAACTGCTTTCAAATAAATGAATTTCAAGTTATTACAAATTTCAAGTGACACTCACTTGTTGAAGAAAATTTTACCTGTTAAAAAATTTTTAGTTTCAGGGAATATAGGATCACCTGTCTATCGAGCAGAATCAGTCAACTCAAAGAACCGAGGTACGTAAGTTTAATTGAAAATAAATGCAAACAACCAAACCATGTCGTAGATGTGGTTGCCATTGACAATCAACAGAAACAAATTTCGACGCTAGAACCACACAATCAGCAGCAACTTTGGTGGCACAAATCTCCGAAGGTCAATTTCAGTATTTGTGTCTCTCCGTTGAATCAGCACTACGATAAATATGAACGTATGCTTGAGTGGATAGAACTCAACCGAATGTTCGGTGTTGAGTATTTCTTCTTCTACAACTTTTCAACCGGTTCCAAAGTTGAGAAAGTACTGAACTACTACGTGAATGAGAACTTGGCTACCATCATTCAGTGGAAGCTGCCCGTCAAGGTCGACGAGAGGACGGGGGCCTCTGACGTTCACTACTACGGCCAACTGACTGCTCTGAACGATTGTCTGATGAGGAGTCGCCTCACTTCCCACTTTGTCGTGAACATTGATCTCGATGAATTTATAGTACCAACAAAGGATCGAACGTTCTATCAATTATTCACCGATGTTTTCAAGGACAAAAATGTTAACATATCTAACGTACCACCTGTAATAATGAGCATAAGAAACACATTTTTCAGAGTTCAACAATGCAACAACACCAATAACTTGTTCACCAACTGCTCAACCAAGAGGGAAGATTTAATTTTCAGACACGGCAGTCGTTCAAAGTGGATGGCCAGCTCAGAAGTCATGGACTTAATTGGAGTGCACGGTCCCCAACTTAAGAACATTCGGCAGAACAGAGTCATAAAACTAGAACCCGATGTGGCTCTAGTCTTCCACTACCACGAACACGAAGAGTGGATTCATCCCATGGTAGCCGAGCTAAGAATGCAAACTTTTTCTATTGAGCTGGCAAGCAGACTTCAAAAAATGCTCACTCAAGTGACATAACTTAAATATTAAAAAAATGTATTTTTATTTAATAAACTGTAGTCTTGATTTAAAAACAATAAATACAAATAAATGATTTGTTGTTTTCTTATAATTTTGCGTTTATTCTCCAGTTTTTACCAAGCAATAAAGATAATGCATTGGAGAACAAATTGTAAAGAATATTTCTTATAACGCAGCTTACATAAATAACATATCCTACCGAATACATTGAAACAGATAACAACACGATGATCGTGTAATTAATATCATCTGCTCTAGTGAACATTTTCTACGTGTGTACAAATTAAATAGATGTAAGTAACTGAAGGAATGTTGGTCTTTCAAAATGTAGCGCTTCTGCTGTCATTGAGCATCTGAAAACGATAGGCAATGACGGGACTGGGTGGCTGAGAGTCATGGCTTTCCTCGCTATCAACAGTCAACTATCATTTTGTTGTATTTTTTTGAAAATTCAGCCAATTTATATTGCTAAATCAATTTTTATAAACAAAATTATGTGATAAGCCAAGAAAAAGGTTACCAACCATTTTTAATTTTTAGTTCGCTCGTCAAACTTTGTCTCTCTCCCTATCAAAGTTGTTCCGGATGAAAGAAATTGATACAGAACCTAACAATGATTTTAATATCAATATCAATTTCCTTTTGTGTCTACTAAAAATTTTCTGGTTCAGTCATCGATAAGGCTTCATGACCTGAATATGTCAAAATCAGACATCGGTCATTCAAAAAAGCAATCAACTTGATGTACAGGCAGCAACTACATCTGACACTTAATAAATTTGGTTATTTTTGTAGTCCGCTTGGTATTAGGGCGGCACAGTGGCCGAGTGTTTAAAGTAGCCTGATTCTTTGACGCTGTGACCGGCTTCGAAAATGAAAAAAAGAATGCCCGCCTATCGCATATATTGTCTGTGATGCATTGTTTAGTGCATATTCACGTACGCTGTTTTTGTTTACGCTTCGAAAGAGTGTAATTAACCTTTAACTTTTTTATTTTGGAATATGTTTTTCTGGATTTTCTAGATCGCCTTTGAGAAACTATATTTTAAAAAATGCTTTATAAACACTTAAATAACAAGTATAATAAGTGAAATATTTAATAATTCAATATTTTTTTAGTTTTGCTCAATTTTGCTTGTTTCCATTTTATATTTGATATTTTCAAATTTCGAATTATTGAGATATTCAATATCTTTGGTATTTTAACAGTAGCCTGACTGTTTACTTATTTGAATTGAAAAAAATTTCAAACTGTGGAATTTTAAGCAGGAAATGTTGTGGATGTTTGCTGATGTGACTAAATTAATTTTTATTTTGTTATGGCCCTCTTCCGAAACCAATCTTGAAAAGGATAAACGTCCATCGCAAAACAACGATGAACAATGCAGATTCTCCATCCCGGATTCAACCGGAACAAAAATTAATGAAACTAATTTTGAAAAACTGCATTGGCACAGAGTAGGAAATAAAACGTCAAGAGAAGTAACGTACGTTTTCAGTGCCTTCCTAGACATCAGAAATGAAAACCCCTCAATTAGGATATTAGGTATCACCGAGGCCTCTAATTATGATGCGCAGGTCAAATACTGCAGGGTGTGGGATGAAAATTCAAACGTTCAAATTGCTGTTCTAAGTGTGGGCTCAGTCACTAATGAGACTCTCGTCAGATCGAAGTATGCTCTACTTATGTTTTTATTTATTAGTAACAATTTTTGCAAACCTTTTCATTGCATACATCAAACATTTTCCTGTAACAAAATTAAAATTTTCTTATTAAATTTAAAGTTTAAACAAATTTGTAAGAAATTTTTGTTGTCTAGTATTTTGAATTCTGCATTTTGCTGCTGCAAAGCTCAATAAAATTATTGAAATAACTCATTGATGAACTTGGACAATGTGAATAACTTTGTAACAATTTCAACCAGATACTATGAAATGCTGTACACTTGCACCATTGCCTTGCATCACAAATTCATGAAACCAGCCTACGTTACTCTAATTAACGCAGAATGTGACGAACCAAACTTCTATTTATTAGTCTATCATTCAGACCTCTACCAACATAGACTTGATTACTTCAAAACTAATTCTCTGCATCATCACTATCCTAAACACAATCAAGAACATCAAAAGAGCATGTTTGAACAACATTTAAGTAAGCGTAACTTAACCTTCAAAGGCAAACACAGAGAAGAAACTGATGATCTATTTATTTCCTCCACTAAACACGTACCTCAAAATTCCACTGTAGATTTTACCATCTGTTCACCAACAAGAGTTGTTTCAGAAATTCCATTCCAATTTTTTATTGAATGGATTGAGCTTAACAGGCATTTGGGGGTTCAAAGGTTTTTCATTTTTAAACTTAGAACTCAGGATGAAAATAAACGATCTAAAAAATTTAAAGATAATTCAAATAATAAATTAAAGCTTAATTATTTGTTCAAATACTATCAACATCTTGGATTGTTAACAATTATTGAATGGTCGTTTCCAGTAAAATATGATCAAAATAGGGATAGTCTGATTATGGAGAATAGTTACATCATTGGCATTGATATAGCTCTCACTTATTGTCTTTATTTGAATATGTACAAAACTAAATACATCATGAACCTAGCACTAGATGAATATGTGACTTCGGCTCGTTACTATAACTTATCAACTTTTTTTGAAAAGTTTGAGCATGATGCGCTGCACAATAATGAGAGAAACAATATTTCTTCTACTAATGATGACAAAAATAACAGTCACATTCTTAATAGTATGGAAAAGGATCAGGTAGCATTGTTTTATTTTCCTACAGTTTTCTACTCCATCTTTGGAGACTTAAACATGGAAATGAAAAAAACTCACGAGCACATGTTTAAGACTTCCATATTGCTTCGACGTTTCAGTAAAATATTTAAATTTAAATCGAAGTACGTAGTTAGAGCTACTGCCGCTCAGTGGCTGACCCTCTTTGATGCTCACCTCCTGCAGACGTTTGTTCACCACAACTTCTCAGAATCTGCGGCTCTAATGAGGTCATTTTTATTATTAAGATTGATGAGGGCGAATGACGAATTTCCACTGGATGATAAGGTGGTCAACCCACCTGATGATGTCAGTTTTGAATCGCACGTGACATTTGTATACAACATACTGCCTACCTTTTTTGATGTCGGGTCTTTTATGACAACAAGGGATGTTGACGAAAATGATGTCAACAATAGCGACACGAATTCAACTGCCACCGAGACACTATTTGACGATATAAATGTAAATGGCAGAGATGACAGCGAGGTAAACAGAGAGGAAGAGAATTTCAAAAAGTGGATCGAGCAAAATACGGAGATCGATTTATACATGGAAGCATATGAGATGACATTATGGAAACGATTCCTATTTGTGCTGAATCTTTCCAACATCACCGACTTATTATTCGAAGAAGAATACGCCCAGTATGGTGATGATGGCAGTCGTCCTGAGAGAAAAAAAGATGGTGATATTGATGATGGTGATTCCGATGGCAATGTCAGTTTTGTTAGTGAGAATGATGCTGGCGCTGCTTTGTACGTTGACAATGAAGATTGACAGATTTTTGGTTGTCATCCATTCTTTTTTCTTTTTGGTTCATGTTTATGTTAAGTTTATGATGACGATGATGATAGCTTTCGTTACACCGTTTTAGTTGGTTAACAATTTTTGTATTCCTTAAAATTAAAATTTTATTACATTTTTAAATCGAATTTCTAAATCGCAATGTGTTTTTCATATTGATGACTGAAAATGCACAATAGGGACGCATAGGCACCCACACGTTCAAAAGGTCGTATACAAATAAACAATTTATAAATTCGGCTGTCCATAAATGTAATTATTAGCGGGAGTGAGTGTCGTTTAGACGCGATACTAACTTAATAAACGTTGCTCGCCACGTGACATCAATTGAGATGTATTGTTTTGTCGTCCTTTGTTTCATCTCCTTCCCCCGTCTGCGTCTGTTCGCTTACTTCTTTTCGTCGTTCTGTTGAAATGCGCTTAAGTAAAGTGTTACTCTGCCTCTGTTTGTTGGCTATAATGTTGATTGTAGTGATGACTACAGTGATAACATGTTGAAGCTGAATATGATATTAATTTCTCTGTAATATATAAGATAAGATCTGCCGGTTTTTTCAAGAACTATTTTATTAGTAGCTACCTACACGTGACGTAAGCTATTCGTTCTCATTGTTTTTATTCAAACTTCCATGTAATTACATTTTTAAAAGCCAATTTCGGTAAGTGAAAATGTAATTTTTTTAGATATATCTAGTTTTCATGTTTGTGAGCACCTGTGAGATGAATCGTCATGTTTACATACTTTTTACAAGAGATGTAGTGTAATGCAAATGTTGCCATACAGATCTGCACAAACATACAAATATAAACAAACATGCAAACTTGGAAACAAACATGCTAATGATGACAGAATGATGCATATTTCATGAAGCAAACTGAATTAATGCATCCCAACTCACTAAAGGATCTCACTTGCATTAGATCTCCGCTTGCTTTCTTTTCTTTGTCATCTCTCTCCTCTCTCTCTCTCCCTCTCTCTCTCTCTCTTATAATTTTTAGGTTATTTTTATGTGTTTGTGTTTCTATCGATGCCTTCTTTATTTAGTTTTGTCTCCTTTTTTGCTGTTAGCATTTGAATTGATGGACCTTTAAGACTTCTTCAAGGATCCCACCAGTGGTGACATGACATTGAACAGTTTCCACCACATCAAATGTTTTAGTACCAATACTCTCTGGCATGTTCGTTTAAACAATGATAGTAACATTTGTTCGTAGTAGTGAAGTTTTTTGCGTCAAAAAATTCTTAGAAACACGATAAGAACGAAACTTAGCAATGTAAGTAATGTATCGATCAACGACATCCTGGAAGTTGCAAGGATAGTAATAGTAGCAATTTTACACAGTCGCAGCACTCGATGAACATATGTCATTAAGCCGAAGAGTGGGCATTAAGTGAAATAAACAACAGGCGCAACAACCACAACGAGCAAAACAACTAGAACGTGCAAAACAACAAAAACACTGAGAAAACAACAACATGCAAAACAACAACAGGCTAAACAACATCTACCACAACAACGTGCACAACAACAACATGCAAAACCGCAACAAAAATATCTACAACAACATCCACAACAACATGTACAGCTCGAAAAATTACTATCATCCCTACCTACTCACCATGTAGCAATTACTACTGCTGCAACTACTACCTTCTTAATGGCAAATTACTACTCTAGTACTATTCAAATTATTTTAAATTTTCTTCAACCATTACAACATGCATTCACTGTGGCCTTGTTTGCTATCAGCATTTTTTCCATTCCAACATCATCATAATCATCGATGTAGAGTTTTGAGAATACAAAGAAAAAGGAGAGAATTGGGAAGGAGTGAAAAAGCAAGGAGGGAAAAAGGAATGGCGAAGGATTTTTAATGTTACAAAATATGTATGGAGACATGTGTGTTTGGCTGGTTCAAATAATCGCACTTGAGTCGATTTTGTTAGAAAAGCTTTTTAGAAAATTTTTTTATAAACTTTAATCTAATTAAATCCATCATGATGTTTCTGCTGCAGTTGTTCTTATAATTATGGAAACATATTTTATCTTTTGTACGATAAATACATTTTATTATAATTCATTTTATTAGACATTTCTTGTTATCATTTGGTTTCTTATTTTTACGGGTAAAAAATAAAATATGTTTCCACAATAATAATAATAATAATAATAATAATAATAATAATAATAATAATAAAGAATTATCACTACCAGCGTTACAACCATCGCGTTATAATCATTTCATCTTTTTATCATCATCACGATCATTGTTCACGTGACTACAAGCTCCGACATCAACAACAAGCCTACCTTCTAATTAGCGAGACTAATTTCAAGCCATCTTTCATGACGTTTGACCTATTTTTTTGTCCTCTGGACATGCGTCTCCCCCGATAGCCAATCATTTCATTTAAAATGATGTCACCGGAAGAAATAGAAGTATGTGTGCGTGGTGTCCAAGGCTAGTTGGCACGGCCCTTTTTATCCCTCCTGTGGAAGTTGTAGTTTAAGATGTATTTGTGAGTTCCTCCAAATAATCATAAAGAAAATAATTGAGGAAAAATTTTTTTACTTCTCAGCTACAAGGATGAATTTTACACATTAGTTCGGCTGTTTCGCTAAGTGAACCACATACATGCATGTATAAATAAATGCATACATACATACATAAACACACATACATCCACACACACAGACATACATACACACATATATATATAAATACAGAGACACGCACATATACATACATACACACACAATTAGTTGGCACCTACTAAATAACAAAATTTCGTGAAATAGATTGAAACTTATAACATTCATAACTTTATACTACTTGAAATACCTGGTACAAGTGTTTTAATATACTAAGCATCATTATTAGTATTATTACTATCAAACCACATGCGTTTTTATTGCGACTACTACTGTTACTACAGCCCTCCAACAAATACCAAAGAACAAAAAACATGGATAATCTTTGCTGACACGTCACATGCATCTTGTTGTTTTTGATGTTCTGTTGTTGTTGCTGCTGTTGTCGGTGAGGATGATGATAATGATGTCGATGATGATGATCCAAGTAAGATATTGCTGTTTGAAACTATGTATTGTTTTTTATTGTTGTTGTTTGTTGTTGTTGTTTTAAATGTGGTTCTATGTGTTGTGTTTATTATGGTTGTTGTTGTTTTAAATGTGGTTCTATGTGTTGTGTTTATTATGGTTGTGGTTTGTTGTTGTTTTGAATGTGGTTCTATGGTTTGTTTTGCAGTGTCGTTAAAAGTTACTTCGTTCGTTTTCATGAAGTGTCGTGTGGTGGCCAACGTTTCTGTTGTTTAGGTATGGTGGTTGGATTTGTTGACGGCTGTAGTAGCTGATGTTATGTTGTTGTTGTTGCTGCTGCTGTTGTTGTTGTTCCTCCCGGTTCGTTGTTTGAAACATTGTTTTGGTTTTTTGTTCGTCCTTATTTCAATCTTTACTGGATCTGTCAGGTGAGAGCTATTTAATGTCTTCCTCCCACTTCTTTCACTTCCATTACTTATTATTTACAACATATTTCATGTCTTCAAAAACCCAACTCCAGTCGGGAACTCCACTGTCGACATCAACAACATTCAAGTTTCACAACAGTAATTCATTGTTCGCGTGAAATATAACAAACACGGCAACAACAACAACAACAAAAACATCAACAAAAAACATCAACATCGACAACACAGCAACCGGGAAAACAAAATCTACAGAATGACAACAAAAATCAATCAAAATAACAACTAAAACTGCCAAAATTAAACCCAGCAAGCTTGAAAAACAGTGAAAATAAAATAAAAAATGCATATAATGACAAATAAACATAAAAAAAACAAATAAAACTAATAATATATAATGACAAATAAACATAAAAAAAACAAATAAAACTAATAATAATAATAAATAATACAAACGATGCAACAAAAACACAACAAATCACAGCAAATGGGCACTCATATTTCAAATGCGGAACCAATATGTCACTGCTGACACACACATATACACACACACACACGTCATATACTTACTAATAGTTCATAATTCACATACACAATGTGTATTATTATGTATGCATTACACATAATTCACACACAACAATATACTCACACATAATTTTGTATAAAAGTGAGTTTCATGCAAACTCACACATACACGCACACAAACTCACACAACACATATGTACATGAGCAGACATGTACGTATTAAGGGTTTAGGACTATTCATATTACGTCATTAATGTATGTTTAGAATCGTCATCCTATTTATCATGTTCATTACGTTCAACATGTTCATCGTGTTCATAGTGTTCATCACTTGCTTGCATGTTCATCATAATGTTAGAAAACAAAACAAGAAACAAAGCCACATCTTTCCGCACAAAGTGGCCGACTGTCCACCCATCCCCCATACACCCCACAATTTGTCCATATCGTAGTGTGAACCTTGCAGGTTCTTGTTAAGCCTTCCTCTGAAAGCTTGCTTTTGCAGACTGAATTGAAATACTTTACTGGTATTAATTATGCCGGCACATTGTCTGCGATGGCGGGCACATGATTGGCAGATGATCTGTTATTTACGGTCTGCTTATTTATGGGGTTTCATCTCTAGCAATTGAACTTTTCCATCTGACATTCCACTCCCACTAGACCAGTTAGCACCAGACCAGCTAACCTACCTACCTACCCACCTACCTGCCTACCTACCTACCCACCTACCTTACCCACCTACCTACCTACTTACCTACCTACCTAACCTAACAATGCCTGCAACTGAATGAAAGGACCGATTTCGGTGAGATCCTTCAAGTTCTTCCCGCTCAGCTCAGCTTTTCTGAGTGCTTAGGTCCTTGTATTGTTTGGCAGAAATAATAATAATAATAATAATAATATAATAATAATAAAAATAATAATAATAACGCTAACGACGATGATGATGATATTAATTGTAACAATTGAAAAATTACAATATATACGTAAATTGATTTAAAGAATGAGTTTATTTGTACACGCCTGCATTTGTATATAAATTCTGTACGAACATGTATGTGCCTTCGTACGTATTTTCAAGTGTCTACTGTATGTATGTATGTATGTATGTATATATGTGTGTTTATGTGTGTTGTGTGTTTATGTGTGTGTGTGTGTGCGTGTATGTGTGTGTGTGTGTGTGCATGAATGTGTATTTGTTTGTATGCATTTATGTACGTATTTATAGGTTGTAATCTTGTTAGGGAACACTCGACGGCAACACGGGATATATTTAATCCGATAAAAATGCCAATAATGAAGTTAAGACGCACGCACACACACACACACGCGCGCGCAAACACACACGCACGCAAACACACACGCGCGTACACACGCACACACACACACACACACAAGTTTTCTTAACGTGTATTCAAAAGTTTATAAATGTGTATATAGATGATGGGGTATGTAACATCTTTTGATTTCATTTACTGGTTGTCATCACGGGTTTTTTAAATATGCGTGCATAATCATGTCGATTATTTACGTGGTTCGATGCTGAACAGTAAATAGAAATAATAAAAATTAAATGAATTAATTTAAATATAATGTAGTACTTGCAAACAACTCTAAATTGGAGGAGAATTGGATTTCAAAACATATAAAAGTTGCCTGGGGAGGCAAATTTACATTAAAATGATGAACTATAAAAGTTGCAGAGATTGTTGTTTGAGTTGTTGTTGTCGTTATTGTTGTTGTTGTATTTTGAAACGTTTGAAAACTTTCTATCGCCAAGTTTAGACTGTTTCCGGTTTATTTTTTTATTTTCCAGTGGGGCATCAAAAGATACTGCATCGTCTAAGGTAACGACGGTGTCGTCATCCTCATCGTCAGCATAATTTTGTTGTTGATGTTGTTGGTTATGATAGCGATAGTGTGTTTCTTTCGGATCGGTAAACATTTGTTTGTTGTTGTTGTTGTTGTTTATATTTTTGTTGTTAAATTTGCCATAGAGCGGAGATGCCAGGCAATGCAAGGGAATGCTGATGTTGTTGTTGTTGTTGTCGTAACTGTGGCCACCACCATCATCGTTTCTCACAACATTGTTGCCAGTCATTTCGTTTGAATTTTTGGCAGCCGACTCTGCAAGATTGTCATCATCTTTCCCGCTGTTATTGAAAAACATGTTGTTGCTGCTGCTTGCATTGTTGACAATTGTGTTGTTGTTGTTGTTGTTGCAATTATTTCCAACAATGTTGCTATTGTTGTTGTTGTTGCTGGTAATGTTGCCACTCATGAAATCCATCTTCCAGCTAGTAACAGGGTGAGGTTGTATTTCAATGTTGGACATGAGGTTGCTGTTGCTCAGTGGGGAGGAGCTCTGGCAGACCGGACTCGCTGCTATCATCGGCACTCCCTGCGTTCAAATGCATGCAGAAAAGATGTAAAGTGGAGAGTGAGGAGTAATGAAAATATAGATGAGAGTTTTGTAACTGTGGCAATGAACGCTGGGGATCGTTAAAAATGAATGATGCATTCATTCATTTAGTGTGTGTGTGCGTGTGTGTGTGTGTGCGTGTGTGTGTGTGTGTGTGTGTGTGTGTGTGTGTGTGTGTGTGTGTGTGTGTGTGTGTGTGTGTGTGTGTGGATAGTTGCAAAAAGCATTTAACTCTCTGAACAATTAAAATAATCAACAAACGAGCGAATGAAAAGGTTAAAAACATCAGGAAAGAAATAAGAAAACAAAAATTTTCCAATGGAAGTTGAACGTGTGGTGGTGAAAAAATAAAAAACAAACGAAAAAACAAACAAACAAAAACAAATATATATATATATACAAAAAAGCAAATGAACGAATGAATGAACAAATGAACGAGTGAACGATGGAGCGAACGAAGTTTTAATTTACTGAACAACCGCTCATTATGACATCTGGCCATGCAGCAAGCAACGTGTAATTAACAGTACAACAAACATCAACTACTATCAATACTTATTATTATTATTGTAGTTATTATTATTGTTAATGTTGTTGTTATTATTATAATTATTGTTATTAACGTAATAATTTTTATAATCATAATCACATCCACAACATCATCATCATCACCACTTCACAATACATGATGATAAAATTTAATAATAATAATAATAATCACCATCCCCATCATCGTCGTCATCATGACGAAGAAGACACGTGACATCGTACGAACCAATCACACCATGGCAACAGATCCATCCTATGTTCTCGTCGCTTTGCTGTTTTCATCATCATCATCCTCATCCTCATCATCATTATCATCATCACAGTGATCAGCATCGGCATCATCATTATCGTCGTCGTATTTGTCAAACTTATCAAAATCATCATTATCAACATTAATATTGTTATCATCATCTTTATTATTATTATTAATGTTATTATTATTAATATTATTTATTATTATTATTATCATAATCTTCTTCATCGTTATCATAGTCACCTATTATTGTTGTACTAGAAGCAACAACAACAACATTTACCATGGTAACGACCAAAGATCATATTTAAGGACAAGATAATGGTGATGTCAGTCTTTCTTCGCGCACACCCACAATCTGTTTTCAGTTCTCACTTTTTAAAGCTAGTGTGTAGGTAAGTTCATGCGTATGTGTGTGTGTGTGCGTATGTGTGTGCGTGCGTGTGTGTGTAAAATTAGGTTTGTTGGTGCTAAATGCGTTTGTCTCATGACATCTATCAATTATTTAACTGCTAGCCATCACTTATTCGGAGCAATTAGTGGACAAATTGCTTGTAATGCGTTTGTGTTGTTTCGTGATTTTTTTAAATTTCACGTAACTTGCCACCAAATAAATACAAAACGAACGACTCATTAAAAGTTGCGAGACTTCAAGTGGAACCCAATGACAAAAATATTTTGAAATATTTTGTATGGCTTCATAAAATATTTGTCAAACGTTCCAAAGTTTTTTTGGATGTTCGTATAATAGCAGACGTTCAAAAAACTGTTACATGTTTGCAAGATAGCAAAATGTTTGTGAACTCATGTCGTCAGATGTTAAAAATCTAATAGATGAAATGAAAAGTTTCGTTCAAGACACGAATGTTCACCATCTTATCACACTTGTGAAACGATCTTCATCATCAGAGTCTCAGTTTGGCCTCTTCACCAACAACATCACCATTATTTCCATCATCATCGTAATCATCACCATTATTAATTTTACTGACATCATCACAAGAACTTTCAGAACATCGTTACCATCACTTTATGACATCATCGCCATCATCCACGCATCATTGATTTCGATCACTGTTGTGTTGTCAACTACATTACACGCCGTTGTGTATGAGAGTCTATGTGTTGTGTATGTGATGTGTGGTTGTGTATGGGATGTGTGGTTGTGTGTATGTGTCTGTGATGTGTTGTCGTGTCTTGTGCATGTGATATGTGGTTGTGTATATGATGCGTGGTCGTGTCTTGTGTATTTGATGTGTGGTCGTGTGTTGTATATGGGATGTGCGGTTGTATTTGGGAAGTGCGGTTGTGTAAGTGATGTGTGATGAACTGTGCAGTACATTAATTAACTAACTACGTTTGTGTCTGTTTATTTGCTTATTGTTCATATTATGGTCCTGGAGTCAGATTAAAAAATTTTTAGACTCCTTGATTGAAAATTTAACAACTCCGGGTAAAAATTTCCGAATCCAACTCGGAAATAAACATATGACAAATTATTTTACAGTTTCTGCCTCTGTCAGATCCTGATTTTAAAAGAATAATAAAAAAACTCCCAATCCGACTTTCGACTACGACCTCGGGCTCCGAGTCCCAGAAAAATTTTTTAATATTTATTTTACATTTTTACTTAAGTAAATACCACCAAAAAATCAAAAATACTTCAAAATACATTTTTGAATCAATCATTGTAATTGCTTTCTTAATAAAAAAATTATATTTAAGTTTCAAAATCTACTCAAAAAAATGGATATAAACTTTTGCATCACAGTGCTTTGCTTATTTCATTCATAGTTGTCAAAAGAATATAGCGTCATTTCGCAAGGTTGCAAGTTTCATAGTTAACAAATTACAATAATGCACTAAAATGAACATATTCCTAGGTCTCCTATGTCTGTAAATGTGATTGAATTAAATAAAATACTTCATTGATTTTTTCGATCCAATACCCCGGTAAAATTAGAAAAAATAGAGAATGTTGAAAAAAATAAATGTTCATTGAAAGATTTTGAAAGCAAAAAGCATCTTGAAACAATGGAAAATTAAAAGAATGAACTGTACAAAAGGTTATCGACAAGTTCCAGTCTTAAGTAGTTGAATGACAATTGTGACCTGTCCATTTTGAAATGTATGTAGGAATAATTTCAAAATAATGTTTGGATAATTAGACTCCAATTTCGGAAATAGTTTGTTTTGTACATCCAGTGTAAGATCGAACCCATTGAGTGCGTCGTTGAAATATCGACAAATGCTTTACAACATTTTATGATTGATCGAAACTTTGAACTTTTTTTCAAGCCTAAATAATGAAATCATCTTTTTTCTTTTTGTTTAGCACTCAAATAATAAAAACGTAGCAAAAATAATATTTAGAAAATATTTACTGCGGTTACTTAGAAATGTTTTATGTATAAATTAATTTTTTCAATAAAGTTACAGATGCAAAATAGTTAACATTACCCTGCGCCAAAAATTTTAAAAAATTTAAATGATAGCATCTCTTATCGTTATTAAAGATGATGGCGTATTGCTAAATGCTCGTACATCTTGAAAAACATCAAATTAAAAAATCCTTTTTAGAATATAAAATAAATTTTATATCAATATACATTTTCTAAAATGTATTTTCTAAAATTCTAAAATTAATATTTTCTAAAATGCGGTATGAATTAAATCTATCTATTTAGTAAAGTTGAAATATTTTGTAACATGTATGTAGTATGTATGAGACTTTGTGTCTGAATGTCTTTTCTGCAAGTGTTCCACTGCACAAACGTGCAGATCTCCATTTCAGTAAAAGTTTTCGATATGCTACACCAATCCACATTAATACAAGTAAATGGAATAAATTAACAAATACTTTTTTTAATAAATAAAGTTTATAATTTCATTATTCTGAAAATGATCTACCCAAAAATAATGTATGACAAAGAGAATAATTCAAAGTTTGTTGTACGTACCTTGTTGGTGAGCCACATTTCAACAGGGTCAGCCAGGCCATCCTGCAGGGATGTTTGTATGTTAATGAGATGTTAATTGGATGTTTGTATGTTAATGAGATGTTTGTATGTTAATGAAATGTTAATGGGTAGTTAATGTGATGTTAAAATAAATTAATTTTCCCGATTATGTGTAGGATGTTATGATGACATGAAATTTAATTATGCAAGATAACGTTTGTGGTAGTTTTTTATTTATAAAAATGTATGTATGTATGTATGTATGTATGTGTGTGTGTATATATGTATGTATATGTGTGTGTGTATGTATGTTTTGTTTTTTTTATTTATTTTATTTTTTTGTATGTATGTATGTATGTATGTATGTGTGTATGTGTGTGTGTGTTGTGTGAGTGTGTGTGTTTGTGTGTCTGCATATGTGTATGTTTGTATATGAACATTTATATTTATTTCTTTATTTCATTTATTTCTACATTATATTTTCCACTTAATATGTGAGTTAGTGCCTGTGTGTGTGTGTGTGCGTGTGTGTGTGCGTGTGTGCGGAATGGCGACGACAAGCAGGCCTGCATTAATATTATTCAAGCAGTGTTCTCATGCATAGATATATCAAAGCAGATAGACAACCGCCAACTTTTCTTCTCATGAAAAAAACGGAAATGAAAGAAAAATCGTCTGGCAGGAGAGAAATTCTTTGCGAGTGATGCGAATTGTGTTGCTGCGTGTGCTGTGCGTTCCATTCATCCGGTTGGTTGGTGTGGTGTGACGTTGAGGTTACGCTGTAGAAACATTTGCGCGTGGAGAGCAAGTTCAAATTGTGAAAAAAGAATTAAAGTCCTATGTGTACTCACATGTGCTCTAATGTGTTCACGCATATGTGCTTATTTGACTGATAATAAACACACAAACACATGCACACACATTGAGTGCACACATTTACAGTTGCACATCAAATCACATATGCAGACATTTACAGACACGTTCGCTCATATTCAAACCCATACACGCACAACTACGCCACATAATTACATACACGCTCATGAACACTTATACAATACACTTTACACTTAAACATCTACCATAAACACACATAAGCACGCACACACGCACACGCACAGTAACACACTTTGACACCTGACCACCTTGTCGTGCTGTTGTCTGATCTGCTTGATGAGGACACTCCTCTTCTTGTCTTTGCACCTCTTGTTCTGGAACCAGACCCTGATGACGCGAGGATTCAATCCCGTCATCTCGACGAGTTGTTCCTTCATGAGGGCATCAGGTCGCGGGTTGGCGGCGTAGCAGGTCCTCAGCGTGTGCAGCTGCTTCTCGTTCAGCACCGTTCGAACCCTGGCTCAGCGATGCAACAAACAATTACGTATTATTTGACATCAATAATTTGTGGTCGCCGGCCACAGTTCTCGCGCTGCAGTTACCGGGTTCAAGTTCAATGAATTCCAAGGAAGTCTATCATGGTGCTGTGTGTTGTTGCTACTTGTGGAATGTTGCAATAAGAAAGAACAACTGGATGTAAGTGGATCGTTCTCAATATCAAACGACTCTTAAAAGCAATCATAACGACAAGTTACAAGAATTAATGAGGTTTAATATCGAAATAAAAATAATTAAAAATTTACTTGAAATTCAAACCAGCTAATTAAACAATAATTCAAAGTATTTAAACATATAAAGTAAACGTTTTTAAACATATGCAGAACAACTTTTGTGAAACGATGAATGTAACCTGGTTGTTTTGGCGTCACATTTTGTGTTGTTGTTGCCGATGTTGTTGTTGCTGCTGATGCTGTTGTTTGGTGTGTTGTTGGAAGCTCTGCCGTTCGTTATGAGGGTGACAGAAGTTGATGAAGTTGTTGTTGCGCTTGGAGCTATGGTGGTTGTTGATGATGATGACGACGACGATGGACGGTGGTGATGATGATGGTGATGGTGATGGAGAGGAGGATGAGGTTGTTGTGAATTTAACAATCTGTTGCTGTTGTTGAACGTGTTGATGTCTTCATTCAATTGTTGATGTTGCTGGATACATACGATGTTGTTGCTGCTGTTGCCACTGAAGTTGTTGTTGTTGCTGTTGTTGTTGTTGAGAGCGTTTATCCTGCCTTGCATGACTTCAACGTCGTAATCCATCTGGCAGTAGATGTTGTTGTTGTAGCAGGAGTAGTTTTCACCCTTCGATATCACACGGCTACAAACGACACATCTGTGTGTGCGTGTGCGTGTGAGTGTTTGTGTGTGTATTTGTTTTGTGTGTGTGTGTTTGTATGTATGCACCTATGTGTCTATGTGAGTGTTCTTTTTATAGCTTTCTAGTTGTAGACCAGAGATTAGGTTTATTATGGAATAAAGTGCTTGAGACGTTTTAGTTTGATGATTTTGTTGAGTTGCACCAAGCTTTGGGTGGCGTGATGGCTCAAGGGTTAAAAGCGTCTGGTCTTGCTATTGCAATGACTGGGTTCGAATACAAAGAGATCCCCGCCTATCTTATGCAATGTGTATGATGCGTGGTTTGCACGCATATTCATATACGCTGTGGGTGTTTGTCGTTGAAACCTCTGAAGAAAACGCAAAAGAGAGAGATTAACCTTTAACCTTTATACATTTTGTGGAAATATTTATAAGAAAGTCACAAATTAGAAATTTAGCGCTAGTTTTGATATACTCAATTTATAAAATTTGTATATATGTATGTATGTAAAAAAATTAAACAAATTGCTTCTATTAACTAAAATATTTATCACCTAATTGAAAAACGAACGAAATGTAACCGATCAATCAATCAATCAATCAATCAATCAATCAATCAATCAATCAATCAATCAATCAATCAATCAATCAATCAATCAATCAATCAATCAATCAATCAATCAATCAATCAATCAATCAATCAACCAACCAATCAATCAATCAAACGCTAAATTATTTCAGTAATCAACCAGTTGTATAACTTATCAAAATCAGCCATTCACGTAAATGAACCAACCGAAAGCAATCGAGATGGTAATATGCAGATGTACTGGTGATCATGACAAGCTCGTCTTTGTTGAAGTTGCAGTTGCACAACCCACATTTCACTCTGAACAATCTTCAACATTTTATCGATTAAGAAAATGTGAATATCAAATTTTTAGAATGATATAAAGAGATAAATATTGCATTAATATTATATTATTTATATAGTGAAAGTATGCAACTAGTTTTTTGAATATTCACGACTATGTTTTTATGAATATTTTTACATTGCATCAATTGCATGAGCAAATTTTTACCCACTAGCTATTTTACTGACCATTCTGCTGATTAACTATCTTAATCAGCTAACCAGTCAACCAACCGACCAACCAACTGACCAACCAAACTAACAGCCATCCAATCAACAAACAAACAAACCAGCCCCCCAAATAAGCAATCAGCCAGCTAACGAACCAATCACCCAGTCACACAGCCAACCGACCAACCAACCTGTTATAATCCCATTTACAAAATGGTTGACCACTGTTGAAGAAACACGTCTTCGTTTCATCGAGTGTGACCTTGCACTCCACACACCTCAAGCACTTCTCGTGAAAGTTGATGTCCGGATGAACTGTCAGCAGGTAATATTCGCTGATTGGTTCCTGACAACCATGACAGCGAGGAGCTTCTGGGTTCTTTGCAGCTGAGCATAGTAAAGTAATTATGAAAAAATGGTTTCTATAAAAAAGTTATTTAAAAAATTTATAATTGTTAATTGTGGCTTTGAGCAACTTTTGCCAGCTCACAAATTCAACATTATTCCATCAGTAGAAAAAAAATTTATTTGACTCTCGTTTGAATTTCCAATGAATAGTTTGAATTACTTTAGAAAAATTTTTAGTTTCCCATTCAAACAAATCAAAAACAGTTTTGTTCCATTAATATATTCTCGTGAAATAGTGTCAGTTGACGCTAAGGCAAAAGGACGTAAATTGGATTGAAAATTGCTCGAGTGTGAAAATTAAGATATAAAAGATGTAGTACCGCGGTTCTTCATTACCTGGATCTGGCAAGGCGATGCTGCTTGCCGTGCATCGATCATAACTTACTTGCAATCAAACTTATGGAGTATCGGGCTACTTTGAAATGAAAAATTTATTTTTAAATCACGTCAAATGGTGCTGGCTGAGTACTTCTTGCAGGATAGGTTTGGTAGGGGACTGTTGAAAGCTCTAATTTCATCAAATTTAGTGAAGGCTTCGTGGTTTGTAGATTTGTGAATTGTGTAACATAGAGAAGATAACAAAATTTCAATCAGTGATAGGTTGTGAAGATTTCCAGAGCAACGAATTCGTGTGTCTGAACTGGTTTTCCAGGTAGACGTTAAGGATTTGTGTCGGATGGAGACGATGGAGGAATCGTATCCTGAAAACTGAGAGGCTGATTTCAGATGTCTTTCTTCTACTAAACATTCCTTCCCATACCTGTCCTTTTTCTATTTTTCATTTCTGGTTTTATTCTATGGTCTGCCTATTTTATTAATTTGATGTTTTTTTTTCATGTTTAATTTTTCATTTTTATATTCTGTTTGATTTTTGTTAACAATTTTAATTTTGCTTTTATTTTTTTTTGTTTAAACTGTGTATTTGTTTGTTTTTGTGTTATTAATATTTTATACGAACGATATATTAGCATTTTGTTGACGTTTTTAAATTTTTTATAAATGTTTCAATCAATCAGTCAATCACTCAAACAAACAAACAATTAAGCGATCAAACAATAGAATTTGAATTAAATAAGATATGTGACCTGATATTTCATTTAAATTTGATGCCGTTGATTAGTTTTTTTATGGTTGCTCAGTTCAGTTTCTCAGAGCGCTTGTTATCGCAATGTGTGTCATTTTGTATGGAAGTTTTTAAATTTAATGTGTCCGTGTGAAAGTATGCTTGAATATCTTATATTGTGTAATATGTGTATGTGTGTGTATGTGTGTTGATGTGTATGTATTGATGTGATATAATATTTGTGTGCTGATGTGATGTGTGTGTATTGAGTTGATTCCTTGTCGTGTGTATAGACGTGTGTATAAACGAGACGAGTGTGAGCAACCAACAAATGACTAACCTTGCTCGTTGATGTCTGGCGATGAGTTCTCGATGTCGTCGGTGGTCGACATGTCGCACTTGCATCAGTTCAAGCAACAAACAAACGCGATGCAAATTCTTTCGCGAACAGCAGCCACAAAATAAGCTGCAAGTATATTATATTTTTGCTTAACAACCAACAACTGCAGTCCAACAATATATATAGATATATATCCTTATTATTATATAGTATTCGCTGCATAAAAGTTCAATTTAACTTCACAATGAGTTACTTCTTAGTTTGATATTAAAGTTTGTTCTCAAAACTTTCCTCCAAATTATGGAATTTTAGACATTTTTTTAAAATCGATCTATGTATAAAAAATTGCAAAAGAACAAATGATTTCATTTATACCGATGTCAATGATTGTAACATCCAACAAACAAACAAACAAACACGTTCGTGTTTATACATGCATGTTTGTATGACTCCGTGTATGTTTATATTTGTTTATACTCAAATTGACTAATCATGCATGCAGTAGTTTTGCAAAGCAATAGTGACCATCATAGGATTGGTCAAAGAAAGTTAATCTCCTCCCAAAGCCAATATGCTTCAGCCAATAACTGTTGAGTATTGAGTATTGAGTGACAAGGCGATTCATTTAATCTTGTTAAGATTGATTTGATTTTAAGTTGAATTAATTATGCATAAGATTTGCATTTTATTTTTTATAAACTTTCGTTCTGCAAATTATTTTTTAATTTTTTTTAATAAAAATTTTCAGACAAATTTGAAAATTAAAAAAATTGCAAAACACTCTTGATTCATCACGATCATAATTTCGGTTTTTTACGATCATCTCAAGATCGTCATCATCATTTCACAAACAAATGAATGCATTATATTTTATTGGCGTGAACCAATGAAGAGATGAAGGAATGATGAATAAAATGTGTTGATGACAATAATGGCGGTGACGATGATGAATAGTGAGTATATGATGATGGGGACGATGATGATCCATCAGTCAATTTATTTTTAAAACTCCGTTCCCGCAATGTTCATAAACGCCCCTTACTGAATATTTAAAAAAATGGTTTTGAGATACGCTCTTAACTTCATGAGTGATGGAAAATAAGGTTAGAAAATGAGGAAAAGACTTCCAGAGAGAAGGATCAGAAAAAGCCAACGCAGATTTAGCATAAGAATGTTTAACACGAGTTAAGAAAAAGTAATCGTTAAGAAGAGGATCGTGAACCGGGGGAGGTTTTGGTAAAACTCTCTGAGAGTTAATTAGGAAATAAGTTTGATTGGGACTTGTGCTTTTTACATTTTCAAAATGATTCCTCATTTTGATACGATAATGACGATGCGAATGATGATGACAACGACGACGATGATGTTGATAATGATGAAATGAGTGAGTGAGTGATGAACAAATTGATGAATACGTGATTGAATGAATAAACGATTGATCAGGTAACTTAATAAAACATTTGTCTATTATTTAAATGCGAATCAAATGAAAAATTTTTGATTTGAAAGAGTGTAGAATGTAGAAATAATAAAACAATATTAAGTTTATGATTTATAAAATAACAACATGTTAATTGACATAGTGAACGAACGAACGAACGAATGAATGACTCAATAAATGCATTAATTAATTAATAAACCAAGCAATGCATAAAGTATTTTAATCTTTTGAAGCAATCAATTAACAATGGATGAACCTCCAGCCGAATCAATCAACCAACAAATGGCACCCTAACTTGAGAACCTGTTACGCAACTAAGTGACAAATCAACTGCAATCACAGCAATCACAACAACCACAACTAAAACAACCACAGCCACAATCACAACAACAACAACCACAACTACAACCACAACAATTCCAACTACTACCACAACAACAACCACAACATAAACACAACAACCAATACATATAGTTTAACTACAAAATAACAATCAATAACAACAACCAACTGCAGCAATAACAAAATCGTTTCATTGCGTTACAAGGAAGTGTAGCTGAGTGCCCTGCAGTGGCCTGGAAGCACTGGATGACTAGGTCACACGTGGGAAAATTAAAGACACAACATCTTAAGGCGGCTAGGACCATAGCCCAACTGGCAAAGAAGCTGCCAAAAATCAGCACTGAAAGAAGCTTCGTTGGATCCGTTAGAATACAGGCTGGATCAGATTGGAACAAAGAAAGCTGTAATGTGGTGTATGCTGAACAACGAAAATCCTCAAAAGAAAATGACTGGAAAAGAAATTCAACTAAGAATTAAAAGAAAAGACTGGCGATCGGGATTCTTCAGGTCGATCCAACAAGCTGCAATCCTACAACACTCGGACTTCATACTCACAGAGCTAAGTTGAATAAACGCCACACAAAAAAAGCGCAGTATGATGCTTCTAAGGAAATAATCCAACATGCTGATAGGTATGAATTGAAGACATTCACTAATAGCTCGGTGGACCAACAACAAAATGTGGAGGTGTGGCACTGGTTGCGTATAACAAAGAAGGAATGGTCTTTTATAGAAAATTCCATGTAGATGAATGGTTCAGTAGTGTAGGCCCCGAAAGAAAGCCAATGGAAATAGCTCTTGATTGGTTTGAAAGTAGCAATGAATGGAATGCTATGGTAGTTTAGGACAGCATGGTCATGACTGATACGCTAGACGGTGGATATACTGTAATGGTAATGAGTTAAACATGAGAATCAGGAATAAAATAGTCAAATATGAAGAAATAAACAGGAGTGTGATGGCGCATGGAAGGTGTTATGGATAGCCAGTTATTGGAGAGTGAAGACAAATGAGGAGGTGAACAGAGGCGCTAATGAAGGCAGAAGGGAAACGGACATCGTAAAAAGTACACAAGCCATTATACGGATGGTGTTGGTTGGAAGTGTACCTGTCAAGCTAATCCAGCATCACAGATGTAAGGAAGTATTTACGATACCGAATAATAAAAAAGAAGAGGCACAAACAGTCAAGAACTGATTTTAGCAGGGTTAAATCTGGACATCATATGCCTCTAAGAGGCTACTAAGCAAGAATGGAACTCTGCGACGACCCTCAATGCCGAATGCCTTGAAACTCTCTGAACATTCTGGAACTGTTCCTCACTTGAATGCACTGCACTGAGGAAGATGAGAGGCAAGTATGGTTTGGGAGTAAGGTTGGAATGATTCACGAAGAAATCGATGGAGGCGATGGAAATAGTAAAATCAATCTTTGGAGAGGTAAATAGTCTACGAGCAACTACTACTAAAACATCATCAATAATTTTAGTCATCATCATAACCATCATCTCCATCACCATCATCATTTTCATCATCATCAGCAGCAGCAACGTCATCATCATCATCACCATCTCCACGGGCATTACAACACAGTGTTACTTTAATGGAGCGTGTATTAACACTGCAGCAATCAATTAGTTGGAAGGAGCAGACCCTCTAATTCATCGAACGTGCGTCAGATGTCGCCCCGTCTTTATTATAATAATAATAATTATTATTATTATTATTTTTTTATTGTTATTGTTGTTGTTATTATTATTATTATTATTATTATTATTGACTTGTTGTTAGGAGTACCCCTAATTCCTTCACTGATAACATCATTCATCTAACAAGCGTGTTGGTGTGTGTGTGTGTGTGTCAAAGTGTATCAGTGTGCGTGTGTGGTGGTGTGTGCGCATCTATGTGACTAGTATTTGTGCGTGTGTGTGTGTGTATGTGTAATCGGGTAGTATGTGATTGCACCGATAAGTGAGTGCATGTGTGTCTTTGTGTGTAATTGATTATGTGAGCGTGTGTATGTGTATGTGCAGTAGTGTTGTTGGGTGTATAATAATCGTGTGTGTGCCTTCCCACTGGATTCGTCCCTTACCACAATTTGTTCTCGGACTGTGGGCTAGGGCTGCACTCTGCGGCTAATAATTTTCATAATTTCGTAATAAACGTTTGAAGGAAACGACTAACAATAATAACAATAACATTAATAATAATAATAATAATAAATGAAACATGCAGCAAAATAGTAATAAGCAAGGCATAGAATAACATAATCAGCAAGTAGCAATAATAATAGTTGATAATCTTCAAAGTTCAAAGTTGAAGTATTGAAAGAATTAAAAAAGAGAGAATGTTGTCCTCACATCAGGACGTGCGTAACATGCATTAGGAGTTTGGAAAGGTTAAACTAATACTAATGTACAGTAATCAAAACATACAAGAGTCATACCTGCAAACATACAAACAAACATACATACGTAGCTACAAACACACATAGAAACATACGTAGCTACAAACAGACGTACACACATGCATACGTACACACAAACGTACGTACAATAAAACACACACAGACATGCAAACAAACAGGCAAACAGACAGGCAAACAAATATTGGCATTGTGAATTAATGTGTGTGTATGAGCAAGTCGTCGAGAGCATGCCCAACATATGGATGGAGTTTCAACATATTCATATGGGGTTAGCACATAGACAGGCGTTTGTATAAAATTGATTTATACAGTTAACTGTTAGACCTGTATTGCTCTGTTCATGAAGAGGTGTCAAGTTGAGATAGATCGAAACAATGCAAGAACACGTTATCACATTTACTTTCATCAAACATTTGTTACTAACAATGTTAACTGAGTCACTTTTTTTATCACGTAAGGATGATTATAAATCAGCTAAAAAATTGTTCCAAAAAGGAATGAACGAATAGACATGAAAAGATCGAATTAACATGAACAGAACGAACAAGCATGAACAGAACGAACAAAAGTGAACAGAACGAACGGACATGAACAGAAAGAACGAACATGAACAGAATGAACAAATATGAACGAAAAACGTGACGTGACATGTGCACAGGATTACTTGAACATGAATGCTTTTAATCCTTGCAACAACAAAAAAAGTTTATAAATAATTTGTTTTTATCTAGCCAGTCCTCATCATCATCATCCTAATCATCACCATCCTCATCATCATGGTCATCACTATCAAGATTGAGAAAGAATGACATCATCAACACAACCTTCCCAAGATCAAATAATTAAAACAATTATCTCCGAAAAGACCCCATAGAACAACTGTTCGTTCGTCACCTCAAATTAGTTCAGCCACTCTTTCTTCTTCTTCTCTCCATATTTGACTCCCGGTCATCAATTGAAAGATGGCCACACAATTTCTGCAGCTCTCCTAATGACAACGGGTTTGTGGCTTTGATCTTACATTCATATATATTTTTACGCACACACACACCACACACACACACACACACACACACACACACATATATATATATATATATATATACACACACACACATATATATATATATATATTGATGAAAATCACAGCATGTTCGGCGTTAGTTAATTTCCAATTTAGCTTTTTTATTTTTCTAACGGTTGATCGTAAATCATTTTCAAGTTTCTTTAACTCAAAACCAAATTTTTTTGTTCATTTTATGCTTGATAAATAAAAAAGCTTTTTTCGGTATTCCTATACCATATTCGATGTTCGATTTGATACGTTGTGTATGTGGCCAGATGTCCAAATATATATTTATATACTGTGTCTCTACTCTACTTTGTTGATTCCTTGTTTGTTTAAAGTGATTACTTAGTTTTACAATCTTCAACATCGTAAAATATAACACTTTTACATGTTTTCATTATCGATGATTCCTCTGTTTCTAGATTTATTGGTAGGAAGAACTCCAATTGCCAGTTGTTGAATATTTATTATCGGATGTCTTTGTTTTATGCGTATTGATTCGGCTAGTCGTAAATTATAATGGTTGTTATTGTAATGTAAGATTTCAACATTGTGATCTAAGATTTTTCTAATAATTTTAGTTTTGTGTTTCTCTTTTGTGTGATTCTTTATAGCGCCAGTTTGTACGTGCATCGT